TTCAGCATAATGTGTTTATGTATTAGGATATAATATTGTACTAGTATAGTGGAAAAGTAAAGAAACAGATTTCTTAACCATAATTCAAATAGAGACATGTTCATTGCAGCACTGTTTACAATAGCCAGGACATGGAAGCAACCTAAGTGTCCATCGACAGATGAATGGATAAAGAAGATGTGGCACATATATACAGTGGAATATTACTCAGCCATAAAAAGAAATGAAATTGAGTTATTCATAGTGACGTGGATGGACCTAGAGTCTGTCATACAGAGTGAAGTAAGTCAGAAAGGGAAAAACAAATACCATATGCTAACACATATATATGGAATCTAAAAAAAAAAGGTTCTCATGAACCTAGGGGCAGGACAGGAATAAAGAGGAAGATGTAGAGAATGGACTTGAGGATACAGGGAGGGGGAAGGGTAAGCTGGGAGGAAGTGAGAGAGTAGCATTGACATATATACATTACCAAATGTAAAATAGATAGCTAGTGGGAAGCAGCTGCATAGCACAGGGAGATCAGCTCGGTGCTTTATGACCACCTAGAGGGGTGGGAGGGAGACGCAACAGGGAGGAGATATGGGGATATATGTATATGTATAACTGATTCGCTTTGTTATACAGCAGAAACTAACACAGCAATTGTAAAGCAATTATACTCCAATAAAAATGTTAAAAAAAAAGAAAAGAAAAGAAAGAAACAGATTTCTTACCTGTCACTCTGCTCAGCTAGCTAATTTTATTTGAAAATAGTCATCTCCTAATTCCAGTCTAGCTCTCTGGGCCTTCTCCTCTTCTTCCTACATCTGTCTACCCTGTCTCCTACACACAGAGTCCAGGCTAAACTGCCTGAAGCAACTCTTGAGGTGTCACTCCCCAGCTCAGAAACTTTCAATGGTTCCCTATTGCCTCTAGATAAATTCCAGATTCTGCATCTTAGCATCTAAAGCTTTTCACAAACCTGCCTCTCCTTCTCTTCTGGCTCTCACTGGAAATTCTCATTTCTCCCCAATATCCTAGAATACAGCCCATCTTCCCTTAGAATCAAACGCAAGATCAAATGCAACCACCTCCATAGTCTTTAATTATTGTTCCAGTGGAAAGTGAACCACTGCACCTCTGAACTGCAGTAATCTTTTAGAATACTTTGCCACTTCATAGTGAATTACAGGGGGACTTACCCCAGAACTTGAAAATGAGACAAAGATTTTTCTGGGAGAGCTGAACCATATCTAGAGTCACCTTATAGAGACAGAATAGCTTTCGTATCTTCAAAATCAGACTGTACCAGAATAGCCTACTTAAGGAAAGAGATTATCAATCTTGAGATGCATAAATGGTGGGGGGGAACATAGTCACAGAGGGGATGATGTCTGGACCCCTCCTAGTGATGTCCAGGAGACAGAAAGCCTTGGCCAACAGATGATAGTACAAGCTCCATTGGTGAGACCTTTGCAATCTGAGATGGTTATGTGATGCTATCCTAGCCAGTTGCCATTCAATATTGGACTCTTTAGATATCCCTTAGTCCTAATTCTGTCACCCAAAACCCTTTTTGGTTTCTCATGTTGGTCTGCCTATATAGAAAGAGAGTGTGCTGGTCACATGGACTGAGAGTATTCCAGCTCCTGTGACAGTGATTTCTCACTGTATATTAGTTAGTTGGCTATTCATTCTTTCAATAAATATTACTGAGCATCTACTATGTGTCAGGCACTCATCTACTCATTTGAGATAAGATGGTGAACAAGAGAGTCCTTCAATCTACTGAGTTTACAGTCTAGAGGGAGATATAGACAAGTATGCCCACAATTCTAATAGAGTGTGATGACTGCCTTGTTAGGGGTGTTCACGGGATTAGGGTGGGAGCACATTCTTGAGAAAGAACCCAGGCTCAAAGAGCCAGATAAGGCTCTGTAGAGGAAATAATATTTACCTGAATCCTGAGGCATCAGCTGGAGTTAGCCTGAAGATGATAGGAGGAGGGAAATACAACGATGCACATAGCACAGGCAGCATAAAAAAGATTCAGGGTATGTCTGAGAAACTGAACATAGTTCAATGGTGCTATAGTGGGGAATGTGAGTAAGGGCAGGCAGGAGGGTCAGGAGAGCTGCACGCAGATCAAGGAGGGCCCACATACCATTTTAAGAGTCTGTACGCTATCATGAGAGCAGTGCAGAATTATTGAAAGGTTTTAAGTAAGTGAATGACATGCTCATATCTCTGGTTGCTGGAGGAACGGGCAGTATCATTAGAGATGAAGAGAAGAGGGCCAATAGAAGATTTATTTAGAAGATACAATAGGCAGGACTTGGTGAGTAATGGGATAAAGGGACTGGGAGTGGAAGTAAGCAAGAGAGAGAGAAAGAGAGAAGAATCAAGATGGTGCTCGAATTTCTGGGCTTGAATAAATGGGGTGGGTGGTGGTGCCTTTCACTGAGGCAGTGTGTAATAGTGGTTAAGAGCACAAGCTCCAGAGCTGGGCTACCTGGGTTTGAATCCCTGCTTTACCACTGACTACTGTGTAGTTTTGAGCAAGTTACTTAACCTCTCTGTGCCTCGTTTCCTCATCTGTAATGAAGACAACCAGAGTCCCTATATCAGAGTTGTTATGTAGATTACGTGGGTTAATAGCGGCATGCTCAGAACAATGCCTGGCATATAACACATGTTATATGTGTTTGTTAAATAAACAAAATAGATGACAAAGGAGGAGTAGCAGGTTTGGAGTAGAGGATTATGAGTTTCGCTTTGGAGATACTGAATCGCAGAAATCTGTGGAGCAGTCGGGACTAGCTCTCTAGATGGCAGTTGCATATATAGACCTGGAGCTCCAAATGGAGATCTGTGCTGGGGATTTTGTTCTGGGAACAATCCTCATATGAGTAGGAACTGAAATCAGTTACCTTCAAGCCTGGGCTCTTCCTCCAAGCATGAACCCCCATCCTGATCCCCTGAACATTCCTTACAAGGCAGTCATCACACTGTATTAGAATTGCGGACATACTTGTCTATATATCCCTCCAGACGGTTCACCATCTTATCTCAAGTGAGTAGACAAGTCCCTGACACATAGTAGATGATCAGTAATATATACTGAAAGAATGAATAGCCAACTAATACACAGTGAGAAATCACTGTCACGGGAGCTGGAATACTCTCAGTCCATATGACCAGCATAGGAAGACCCACATGAGAAACCAAAGAGGTTTTTGGGCGACAGAATAGATGCAACAGACCACAGAGGATGTAGGATGAGAAAGGGGAGGACAAGACAAGAGAGAACCTTTGAGACCATTTCAGGAATGGGCGGAAGGAGAAGTACTTGCCAAGGAAATTGAGGAGCAGTCAAAAAGCAAAAGGAAAACCAAGACCAGAAAGTGTTTCTAGAAGGAGGAAGTAGCCACTGGTGTCAAGTTTGTCGAATACAATAAGGACCAAAGAGAGCCCACTGGATCTGACAACAAAAGTTTGACTGCCGCCAATCAGAGTTGCTGCTGTCAGGGTTGGGGTGAGAGGAAGGTGGCAGAGGAAATATAAGGAGACAGCAAATGCAAACAATTCGTTCATGAAGATGCGTGAGTAGCAGGGAGGAGGGAGAGCAGACGGTAGATGGCGGTCAGGAGAGGCTTTTTTTGCTATAATAGAAGATACTTGAGTGTTTTTAACTGATGTTGATATGGGTTGAATTGTGCCCCCCAGAAATTCATACATTGAAGGCCTAACCCCCAGTACCTGAGAATGTGACCTTATTTGGATATAGGGTCATTGCAGATGTAATTAGTTAAGATACGGTCATACTGGAGAAGGACAAGCCCCTAATCCAGCATGACTGGTGTCCTTATAAAAGGGAAATTTGGAGACAAATAGGCACACGAAGAGAAGGCCATGTGAGTACAAAGGCAGAGGTGGGAGGGATGGGGGCAAACTACCGGAAGCTAGGTGAGAGCATGGAACAGATCCTCCCTCACAGCCCTCAGAAGGAACCAACCCTGCCCACACCTTGATCTCAAACTTCTAGCCTCCAGAACTGTGAGACAATAAATTTCTGTTGTTTAAGCCACCCAGTTTGTGGTACTATGTTATGCCAGCCCTAGCAAACCAATATGATCGCTAATGGGACTTTCCACCATTTATCATATTAATCAGGAAGTAGATGGCATGCTCCAGCTGAGTAAGTCATGGAATGGTTCATAAAGGGACTAGGCATAAAGGTGTGGGCAGGATGTAAGGAAGCTATAAGGTATGTGCAGTGCCCAGGTAGAGTAAGAATGGGCCTTGACCATCCCCAGAATTCAAGGGCCATGGGAGGGAGCAGACCTACGTGAAAGGGGTAACAGAGCAACTGGGTGGAAGGGCCTGTGACAGAAGTGTGACTGGAGCCTCAGTCACTGCCGGGGACCTGCCAGGGCTGGATCTAAGGACACACGTTCAAATATGGCACAGTCCTGCCTCCCTATGATCTCCTGCAGATGCTCTGTATCAGCCAAGCCATCCAGAGGCCTGAGGGTCAGGGAGCTGGTTGATGCAGCGCCCACAGGTCCACCTCATGGGGCACAGAGCAGAGGAGAGAGGAGTAGAACGTAAGGGACAAACAGAAACCTGGCCCAATGCCTCTTCCCATTTTGGAGCCACTTGACTACATTACATATTCAAATGTTTAAACTTTTAACTTGCTAATAAAAAGAATCATAGAGAGGGAGAAGCTATAGAACAAGGCTGCACACTGTGTGAGGCCCCTTACAGGAGGGAAGTGGACTATTTTGTGGCACCAGTATTCTCATAGTTATATTTGTCATTGTTCATTTCTGCTTCACCAGACACATACTGGGTTCTTGGCACTTTTTAATTGCTGAATAAATTTTTATATTTTCTATTTCTCTTGTTTCATCTTTGGAAATATCCATTGAGAGGGACTTTTTCTGCTATCACCTAACCTCTTGATTATTTAAAGTGACTGAGGTGTATCTCTCTTCTCCTAAAATACCTTTCAGATATGCCAGTGACTGTTAAGGAGAACAGGTCTGGTTTACAGTATGGGCACATAAGAGGCAGGAAGTGACTCCAAGAAAAGCTTCTGTTTATAGCATAATCGGTAAGAATCATTTCTTTTATCTCTGACTACAAACATTTATTTAACTAAACTTACCACAAAAATTATATTATCTAAGCTAGTATATGTTGACATGCTATCATTTTTTTTTTTTTTAACATCTTTATTGGGGTATAATTGCTTTACAATGGTGTGTTAGTTTCTGCTTTATAACAAAGTGAATCAGTCATACATAAACATATGTTCCCATATGTCTTCCCTGTTGCGTCTCCCTCCCTCCCACCCTCCCCATCCCACCCCTCCAAGCTGTCACAAAGCACCGAGCCAATATCCCTGTGCCATGCGGCTGCTTCCCACTAGCTATCTACCTTACTGCGTTTGTTAGTGTGTATAGCCAGTGCTTTATTTCAAATAGAATCTTAATTCATTACAGAAGTTAGCATGATAATCATTGATAAGAATAACAAGTCTTTTATAATAAAGGCCGACATTCACATGTTCATGGCAGTTCATCTTCGGGTTTTGCAACCTGAATAATTTTTTTTTTTTTTGCGGTATACGGGCCTCTCACTTCTGTGGCCTCTCCCGTTGCGGAGCACAGGCTCCAGACGTGCAGGCTCAGCGGCCATGGCTCACGGGCCCAGCCGCTCCACGGCATGTGGGATCTTCCTGGACCGGGGCACGAACCTGTGTCCCCTGCATCAGCAGGCGGACCCTCAACCACTGCGCCACCAGGGAAGCCCCTGAATAATTTTTTAATCCCACAAAGTAGCACCAGCTATGTGATAGTCTTTTGAGCCCTTGGGTTGGCTTTTCCAAGTGAAATTAAGGAACTGAGTTGTGACAATCCATCTCAGAAGTCTTCAGCTTCTCACACCATAATTAGGACTACAGTCCATCAGTTCCCTCCTTCTTGAAACAGAAAGACCAAATATGGAAGTCAGTCTAATGCCTAGACTATCCACGTAAATATCTGCACACTGTATTATTTATCTATGGCAGAAAAAAAAGGGATGTAATAAAATACAGAAATTTTTATAATGGGGGTAGAAGGTTGCTCCTGGGTAAATCATTTGAGGAAAATCAGAATTGAGCTTTGACACAATTTCTCCCTCATATGAATAGTGGGATTAAGGGGAGGAGAGAGAGCGGGCCACAGAGAACATCAGTGATGGCAATGAGGAACCCAGGTGAGTCAGAGAAATGAACATGAAGGCAACCCAGAAAAGCAGTATTCAGAATCTTCCTGGGGAAAAGATGTTTGAGAGCTGGACAGCACTGTGGGAAGGAAACTTGTGAAGCAATGAGGAAAAGCCATAGATAGCCAAAAACTTTAATTTTTAAAAAAAGTAAAATTAAAAAAGCAAAGACAAAATGGAGAGGAAGTGTGGAGTACCCCACAGCCCAAGCTGTCTTCAAATAAAATGCACTTCCATGAATGGTCCTGACAATTCCTAATTTTTTTTAAAGTCACGCCTACATGCTGCAATGCACAGTAATCTTTTTATTTTTCCCTTCATCTGGTGGACAGAAATTCCCTTTGAAGCCTCTTTGTGATCGGAACTGAGGGAGCGCCGGGGTTCACGGGGCCTGGCGGCTCTCCTCCCTCACTGCCACCTGTGCAGTTGATGCACCCTTAGTTACAAAGCCTTGGACTGCTGCTGCCTTCAGTCAATCCGTTTAGCCGAAGGCCTCTGATTTGTTCACATTTACTACAACCCATACAGAGGGCTGGAGGATTTTTTTTTTTTTTTTTTACTATTGATCTGGTGCTTTAAGAGGGGAAAAAATCTCCTTGGCTGTCTAAACACTATTGATCCCTGCTTGGGAGTCGCAGCAGAAGTGTAGAAAGGGCGTGGATGAATTGAAATTTCATTTCCGACAACTTGTTCCTGTTATTTTTACCCTTTTGGACGGAGAGAAACAAGTTGCTGCGGCTTCAGTCAATGTGGTCGATAGCTCCACTGAGAAACTCAACACGGCTTCTGCCAGTGGTTTGGCAATGAGACATGATGTTGGATTTAGAGTGTGTGAAGCTGAAGGATGCTGGTGAAAATCACGAGGTCTTAATGGCAACCAGAGGCAGAGCAACTGGCTTTGGGCTCACTGAGACCCAGGGGCTTGTGACTTTGAAGAAAAGAAGGCTTACAGAGACTAATGACACCCCCATTTGGGAAAGGCCCTGAGTAGTCACACGAGAAGCTTCACCGATTACAGGGTCCTCACTTCTGACTCGTGGATGGCTGTATGTTATAACCAAAGGAGAGGTACTCTCTAGCTGAAGCTAAATTTCAGACTTCAAAGAAGAGCGTTAGGTTGAGCTATTCCAGGAGGTTGCCCACGACCTGTCCAGGAAAAGGACCAACGCAGAAACTGGAGCTGCAGGCCCGCAAGCTGCAGGCCTGCTGCAGGCCCGCAAGGAACTAGGGGATGATACTGGGTCTGCAAGGGCACACATCTGCAGCCAGCGGCCTCAGGAAACCCGCCTAGCCTGGAGCACGCTGACTAGGTGTGGTTTGGTGCCAACAACACCAGCTTTGTTCTTACTTTTATTAGATGCTCAAAGAATACAGGAGAGAACCAGGCACCTTCTTCCTAATGGCAACATCTGGCTTTTATGCAGCCATGCACCTTTGATCCTTAAGGATCCCAAAGCCCTTTACAATCTGCTGTAGTGCTAATGGCCAGAGCAACGATCTCACAGCAAACGTGCCAAGTATTCCCCACACTGGCTCCCTTTTCTCAGTTTTTCAGTGTATAGAACAGTTCTCCACTCTGGGAGGGAAGAGTCCAGTTTGGATCCCAAACACTTCTTTTGTCACGTTTTTTGCAAAGTTTGTCCTCCCTTTTTTTAACTAAAAGTACCATTCTTAATAAACAGTACTTTATTTACATTTCCAATTATTTTACAGGCCTATTTCTGCCCCTATCCCCATCCCTCCCATTCCAGAAAAAGATGGAAATTTTCTCTCCTGGGAGCTAAGAATCTGCATTGCCGATGAGGTTGCAAATTCAGACGCAATAAACAGAATTAAGAAAAACTGAACTGGCATTTGACAGAAATTGTAAAATGACACTCAGAAATGTTGCTCTTGTGGAAATTACTGATATTAAAATATAAATCAGTGTCTTGTGTTTCCCGAAGCACCAGGGGCTCTATTAGGTTATGCAGTTTGATTGCTGAGCTGAACCTAAGAGACTTGGCAGTTCAGTGCTGAAGTTATCCCAAAGAATTTAACCCCTCTCCTGCTGGAGAGCAGGCACCCAGGCAAATGCCTATTGATCGTAGCATCTCCAAAAAGCCTTTGCTTTTCCACTGAACCCTTTGAAAACTGCAAGAAGGTGGAGGGGGCTAACATGGGGAGAGAAGGTAAAGGAATTTGGAAAATCCTTTCTCAGGATAACAGTCTTATTGCATAGTATCAGGAAGAAGGCAGCAGAGGGTAACTCAAGAAGCAGATTCTATGAAATTTTTTATTAATTATAACGGGGAAAATAGTAGACACCAGCATGACCAAGTGACCAAGGTCAATATCATTGGTAATAAGACATACTGATAGGGTGTAAGATGCTAACACTGGGGAAGTTGAGGAAAGGGTATATAGGAGCTCTCTGTACTATGTTTGCAACTTCTCTGGAAATCTAGTATTATTTCAGAAAGGTCTGTATGTTCCTGTTTTTTCACCAGAGTCAACCATTGCTACCTTTGTAGAGACAAAGCAAATCACAAAAAACCATAATAAAGGCAGATTGTGTTGTTTTAAAAGGTGAATAGATAAAGTGCCATAGGAGTCTGAGGGGTTACCTACCTGGCGAGGCTGCTGTGAGGATTATTGTTCTTTTATGTTTAGAACAGTACCTTACATATAGTAGCTGCCACACAAGTGTTAATTAGCACATGTGGTTGGAAGGAAGATGACAGAAATGGCTATTGAGTTGGGTCTTGAAAGTGTATGCTTTTTGGACAGAGAGACAGATACCTCATTTTTAAAAAAAGAAAGATACTGAGAAATCAGGTGGGAGAGTTCTCAGTATGTCGGTTGATCCTAATGGCAACCAAGATGAAATGGAGTGTGTACTTCAAAAGAGGAAATTTTACTAAATGGCATGGGAATAATGATGGTGGCAGTAGGAGGGCTAAGTATGTTGCTCCCTTCCCTACGCTGAATCACGCTACTCCATACCTCAAGTGGAGAAAGAGAAGGAGTGAATGCAATGAGCTGATGTATCAAGAGAAAACGAAGTCAAATCAAGGGAGAGAAAGGAACATTTGAGAAAAATGTTTGTAGGATCAAAGAGTTGGTCCACAATGAAACAGGGGTTCCAGAACCTATAGTAGAAGCAGCTAGTGGAGGTCCTAGAAATGAAGAGTGAATTGTAAAGAGGTCTCTTGGAGAGGACTATAATTAAGGGTACTTTATCCCTTTGCATTAGATCTAGCTGCATAAAACAGAGAAAATCCAAAACAGTGACTTAAGATAGAAGTCACTTATGATAGAAATTGCTCTCTCTGGGGAATTCCCTGGCCATCCAGTGGTTAGAACTCCACAATTCCACTGCAGGGGGCACAGGTTCGATCCCTGGTGGGGGAATCCCTCATGCCACGTGGTGTGGAAGTAAGTAAAAAAACAAACAAACAAATATGTAAGAAATTGCTCTCTCTCTCCAGGGCTGGCATGGTGGTTCCATACCATCAGAGACCTAGGTTCTACCTCTATGAGCACTACATCATGTTCCAAATGGTTGCTGGAGCACCAGCCACTAAATCAGCATTTCAAACAATCGGGAAGGAGGAAAGAACAAAGAACGGCACATTACTCTTTAGCATTTCCAGGAAGTTCCCACAATATTTCCTCTTACATCTTACTGGCCAAAACTTAGACATATAGCCATACCTGGCTACCAGAGAGGCTGGGATAGGTAGTCTTTTGGATAAGTACATAGACACCCCAATAAAATTATGGTTCTGTTACATGAACGATTAAAAGTATGGATATTGGAACACGCAACTGACAGCCTCTGTGAAAAGTACCAAAAGAGATAGCCATGGGGAGAGATTTTCACCTGCAGCAGTGAGTCTGATAAATCCTGGGACCCCTTCTCATGTTCCTTCTAGACACTTATTTCTTCTGCCATTCCAAAGTCTCCTTTAGGAAGACCCAACGGGCCCTGCTTCCTCTCCAGAAAAGCCTCAGTCCTGGGGTTGAACTATGACCCAGTTAGTAACCCTGGCAAAACCATCCCCTTCTACCACCTCCCCCATCAGATATGCGCTACATGACCAGGGACTTCTTTCTTTTTGAACTGGATTTGGATCCAAAGAAGTAGACTGTTCATGCCAGGCCTTCACACAGTATGGCTCTGTCCATGCATTCTTGGCAGAAGTAATTTATTGTACAAGGAGCACCCTGTCAATTCATGGTGTTCACATATTTTTAAATGGAAGAAACATTGAACATCCTTTCATCATTTCAATAATTAAGACCCCTAGGACTCATCACCCTTTTCTCATTGGTAGGAGATAGAACATTGGAGAAAAATTTAAAACCTAGCAAAAGTAAAGAAAGACTCATGGCTAAGTGTAAGTAAACCTGTTATTTTGATAAATCCCCAAGGATAGCTTTAACTTTAAACTAAATAGCATCTCTTTCTGTGAAAACATAGAAACATGTTTTAGATGAGAAAAATAGGTCCTTGATATTCTTCCGTCTAGGTCATGAAGGAAAAGGAACAGATGGTGTGGCTTTAAGGCCAGTAGTCCCTCCATATACCCAAGCAGTTACCAGTTCCTTGGGGAGAGAGCTAGCATCAGTAATCTGTGATGATGGCGTTTGTGTAACCTAATGAAGGTAGATGGTGTATGAAGTACTAACATGTGTTTCCCATCCTGCCCCTGTTCAACCTGTGTTTCACTGAACTGTTCACTTGTACTTTTTTCCTTCTTCCCCCACAAATAAACAAAGTCTCTCTGAGTTAAGAAAGGGGAGGGAGGGACTTCCCTGGTGGCACGGTGGTTAAGAATCCGCCTGCCAATACGGGGGGCATGGGTTCAATCCCTGGTCGGGGAAGGTCTCACATGCCACAGAGCAACTAAGCCCATGCTCCACAACTACTGAGCCTGCGCTCTACAGCCCGCGAACCACAACTCCTGAGCCTGCGTGCCACAGCTACTGAAGCCCGCACGCCTAGAGCCCATGCTCCGCAGCAAGAGAAGCCACCACAGTGAGAAGCCTGCACCACAACAAAGAGTAGCCCCCAGGGCTTCCCTGGTGGTGCAGTGGTTGAGAGTCTGCCTGCCGATGCTAAAGGACACGGGTTCGTGCCCCGGTCCGGGAAGATCCCACATGCCGCGGAGCGGCTGGGCCCCTGAGCCGTGGCCACTGAGCCTGCGCGTCCGGAGCCTGTGCGCTGCAACGGGAGAGGCCACAACAGTGAGAGGCCCGCATACCGCAAAAAAAAAAAAAAAAAAAAAGAGTAGCCCCCACTCGCCGCAACTAGAGAAAGCCCACGTGCAGCAACGAAGACCCAACACAGCCAAAAATAAAAGAAAGAAAGGAAAAAAAAGAGGAAGAAGAGAATTTGAACATAAATAAGAGAATTTGACCCTGGTGAAATCAATGAAATGGGCACAAATGGGGAAAACAATAGGACCCCAGGTAGGTTTAGCAATCCAGGGGCAGAAAGGGCTTTTGACAAATACCAGGAATGGGGGACAGAGAAGTAAACAGAATCTTAAGATCCTATCCCCTTCCTCTCAACACCTTTCTAGAGAATGGTGGAAATGATGGTAGGTACAATGATGGTAGAGCAGGTCCAAGAGGAGAGGGCCTGAGACAAATCTCACGTGTGTGTGTCTCTCTCTCTCTCCTTCTGCATTAGGAGCTTCGTCAGGGGATGAAAAAGGGCCAGAAGACCCAAAGCCTACAGTAAGACAAAGATGTAATCTATGCAGCCTGATGACCAGGACACAGACATCTCAGCACACTTCAGCTGGGAGAGATGCCCATGACCATGGACCAGGAGCCACTCCTGATGCCAGGTTGCATCCTAGGACCTCAGAAATGAGGCACACTCTGGAGAGACCTAAATAGGTGGAAGGAATCATGAACTGCTTCATTTTTAACCTAAAAATGATGGAGTTTTCTCAGAAATAACTAAGATTCTGTTTTCTGCCATTTGGGGGAAATGGGGTTTAACAAAGAGGTTGAGTAATAGAAAAATAGTTACCTTTTCTTTGCACACCTGAGTTCATACCTGCTACACTAGTCACCCATGTGAGATGCAGTGTTAGGTGTTTCTCGGGAATCTGTAAAGTGCTCTACGTGGGGGCTGAGGCCAACTTCAGGGGCACAAAACATCACTATGTTTTGTGATATGACACATGACATCACCCTGACCAAGTTTTTGTTTTCACTACAGTTTTTTTTTTTTTTTTCCTGCTCACAACTGTCACCAAGAAAAAGCCTGCTAGAAAGGCAGATGGCAGAACTTTCGAATACAAAAAGAGTAGTTCCCTGGGCAGTTGCAACAGAATTGGAGATGCTGGTGGAGGAGATGAGGCACGAGGATGTGAAGGTCTCAACAGTGATGCAGGAGATAGCAGCACAGAAGATGTAGAATCAGTTTAAGAAGAGAGAAGACATTGACGTCCTGGGCCCAGAGATCAGTATCCATTGATCAGGTAGGGGGCCTCTCCCTCTGTGATGAGTTCTCTCCTCTACAAAATATTTGTCCAGCCACACTCCTCAGAGGGCATTGTGAAGGTTCCCGTGTTCATTTTATGAAGGCTCCCTCAAAGCACTCTTCCTTATCCATCTGGCAAACATTACTGTCAAATGCTTCGAAAATTTATCATATAACCCTTCCCTTTTTTTCCCTTTTTTTCATCATAAACACTTCCAAATTGCCTACTGCTGCTATTAATGACTCACAGGATTCCCATGTCTCCTTCATGGAACACAGTTCAGCTCTCTATTTTTCCTCTGACTTATTTTACTTAGTAAGTATATTTTCATGCAAATGTGAGAGCCTGTGCCTGCCACTTTTCCTCCCAAATGCTCTTGGCCCTTGCAACGATAGCTGTGTAACTCCATAGTAGAAGAAACCAGCACAAGTTAGACAATCATTTTTCTGTCTTTGAGACAAAATTTTATTTGATTTAAGAATCATTTCCTGACTATCCAGTAAGTCTACCTCTAGAGGAATATTATTCTCAAGGATATGTTTACTCCATTCCAACTTTTGTGTGATGCTTGGGTTAAGTTCACGATTCCTATTAAAGAAGAATGTCCATCAAGGTAGAACCTGAACCAGTAAACTTTAGAGCTAAGAAAGAAAACAGTCATTTAGTACAGCTCCTCAGTTTACAGAGGGAGAAACAAAGGCTTGGAGAGGTGAGTGCCTTTCCAAAGGCTACTCCTTGACCTAGGTGCTGGGTCAGGATTAGCAGTTTACTGGCCTAGAGACCTATTCAGTGTTCTTTTAGGCCATGCTATTTTTAATCTTCTCATTTGCCTAACACCGTAGAGTAAATGTTTGCGTCCCCTCAAAATTCATGTGTTGAAATCCTAACCGCCAAGGTGATAGTGTTAGAAGGTCGGGTCTTTGGGAGGTGCTTAGGTCATGTGGATGAAGCTGTCATGAAAGAGATTAATGCCCTTATAAAAGAGACCCCAGAGTTCTCCCTTATCCCTTTCACCATGTGAATTTACAGCAAAAAAAGAAACAGCCATCTCTGAAGTGGGTCCTCACCAAACACCTAATCTGCTGGCACCTTAATCGTGAACCTCTCAACCTCCAGAACTGTGAGACAAAATTTTTTCTGTTGTTTATAAGACATGCAGTCTGTGATATTTTGTTGCAGCAGCCCAACCAGCTAAGACACCTTGCATGGAAATGATTTGTAACATTCACCAATATTTCCTCTTGGGGGTAAAGGAAGAATGTAGGCGTAGCCATATGACTTGTTTTGGCCAATGAAATGTGAGCAGAAGTGAAGTGTGTCACTTCTACTTTAAGAACCTGTATGTGATTCACCTAGTTCCCTTCCTGCTGGGATGGCAACAGGCAACATGCTAGATGACAGAGGTTCTACTAGCTGAGGACAATAAAGAGCAGAGCCCCAGCTGACTCATAAACGACGTGCAGCACAAATGAAAAATAAACCTTCATGGTTTTAAGTCCCTGAGATTTGTGGATTGTTTGTTACTGCAACATCACCTAGCCTCTCCCTACTGGGTAAGCCCAAGCTACATCACCATTCCCATGATGCATCTCTCTGCATGAAGACATAAGAGGGTAAACAATGCAGCAGATCAGAATACAACCCCATAAAACATTCCAAATTCTCACCAGCAATCTTGCTTCCTCTTGGCTTACATTAGGGATGTGGTTCACTACAAAGAATGAGTATTTTGATAGCTTCTCATTCTTGGAACTATTCTGCAGGTAAGTGCTTGGTGGAAATTTCCTCTGGTCTTAGAGTTTAAAACATAATGAATTAGATTGTTTTAATAAGTGCAGTGCATTATGACTTCAAATGCGTCATCCTATACTTACACACATACATGTGCACAAATCTTTGGTTTTCTTTGAGGCTTTTTATTTAGATAATTCTCAGCACTTTACAAGTTTCCTAACTTTACAAGCACCAACATTACAGTAACTTGATGCTGCAAAAAAATCACATTATCATATATTTCCAAATTAATAGTTAGAAATTATGGAAGGGAAGCTCCCCATGGAGTAGTAAGAGAGCCTCCCTGGCCTTGGGTAAGTCACTTAGCCTCTCTGGACTTCAGTTTCCTCCTCTGTAAAATGGGGACAGTAATAGTATCTACCTACCAGGGTTATCATGAGAATGAAGTTGGTGTGCACATCCCATTTGATTCATAATTAGTAGTTAACTATATTTGAGCCACTGAATACTTAGAAATCTAGAAAGTAAAATCATTTCAGCCCTTTTACTTTCCAAGAAAGATGTGTTCAGAAACTATTTAGCCTACCAAGTGGTGATTTTTTGGAAAAGATGTAAAACCACGGTCCTGTCTTCCTAGCAAAGGCTTTAACACACTTTTGAAAACACAACAGATGGGTAGGCAAGTAGGTATTGCTAACAGTTCGGAAATTTTTCCAAACTCCCTGCTCAGAGCACACATCCAGGTGGGAAAATCTTTAAAGGGCCAGACTCATTTATGCTTTTTCCATCTTAAATTCTTGGACTTTTTCAGGTTTATAACAAAGCTCAGGAAATGCTAAAGCTTAAAGGAGAATTGAGAGGTACCCAGCAAATGAAAGATGAGGTAAGCATCCTCACTCCTCTATGTACGTAGAGTTGAAACTTTGCTACAAGGGACATCTTTTCCAGTTTCATGATTCAAAATTCCAATAACAACATCCCAAAATGTCACAGACAGAGGTGGACAGCAAAGCATGACATTTAAAAGCCCAGACTTGAGCTAGGTGAGTCTGGGTCCATATCTAATAGCGGTGTGATATTGGGCATGTTACTTACCCTCTCTGAGCTTCCTTTGCCTTACCTAGAAAATATGAATAATGAGCACCTATTTCAAAGGCTTGCTGTGAGGATTAAGTAAGATACTGCATGTAAAACGCCAGTGCTTGGGGCTTAAGCACTTATTAAATATTGTTGCCGACATTTTCTCTTTATCTGGAATGATATGGAAACGGAGTGCTCTGATGACTCTATTATTTTGGTCAAACTGTGTTTATGTATTCCCTGACTTGTTCCAGAAAGGACTTAAAGGGGATGTTTTGGTTAGTATAGGGTTGTCCCACATGACATATGCTTTTTAACAGACCTCCTACCAAGAGGTCAGCAGCTTCTAAAAGAGGTGTTTCAGCTCCTTTCCTGCTGGATTACTAGTGGGAGCCATTGAGGATTCACTGAAAGTTCTGCAGGGAACGAGGATCTGGTATGGATTTTCTAGAAGGGCATTTCTTTATTCAGCTGATATCTCTGGGGCACCTTCGCTGTGCCAGGCATTGTTCTAGGGCCTGGGGATAAATCAGTGGACAAAATCGACAAAGATCCCTGTTCTTGTGGAGGTTACTTTCTAGTGAAATAATTTCTCCAAGGATATGATATGATGGAGAAAAGTATGTGGCAGTTGCCCAAGTACCAACAAGAATTGGCCCATCTTCCAAAGGTGGTGGACCACCTGCCATATGCCATGTGTATCCTAAGCCATATACTTTGTACAGTGTGCCAATTTTTAAAGAATTTAGAACACAATGAAATATACTCAGTCTTCACTATATGAACATAATTGGCTCCAAAATTTTTGCTCACAGGCAAAACCTCATGTAAGTGCCCATTAATTCCCATCACAAGTAAACAAAAACTGTAATTTTTTTTTTTTTTTTTTGGCGGTATGTGGGCCTCTCACTGTTGCGGCCTCTCCCGTTGTGGAGCACAGGCTCCGGACGCGCAGGCTCAGCGGCCATGGCTCACGGGCCCAGCCTCTCTGCGGCATGTGGGATCTTCCCGGACCAGGGCACGAACCCACGTCCCCTGCATTGGCAGGTGGACTCTCAACCACTGCGCCACCAGGGAAGCCCTGTAATGTTTTTATAGATGGAAAAGCAAGCTCAGGAATCAAGTTAGTAATATCAATAAGAATGTTTGAATTTACTGTAGATAATTTTAAACTCTTATTAAACAAGTAAACTGTAAAACTTCCTGTAGCAATGTTAATTTTTAAGATTTCCTGCTTTTAATGTAAAATAGATAGCTAGTGGGAAGCAGCCACATAGCACAGGGAGATCAGCTTGGTGCTCTGTGACCACCTAGAGGGGTGGGATAGGGAGGGTGGGAGGGAGGGAGACACAAGAGGGAAGAGATATGGGAACATATGTATATGTGTAACTGATTCACTTTGTTATACAGCAGAAACTAACACACCATTGTAAAGCAATTATACTCCAATAAAGATGTTAAAAATAAATAAATTTAAAAACTAAAATTGTTGGTAGAACAAAAGATTTCCTGCTTTTTCTTTTTTTAAATTTATTTATTTATTTTGGGCTGCGTTGGGTCTTCGTTTCTGTGCATGGGCTTTCTCTAGTTGCGGTGAGAGGGGGCTACTCTTCGTTTCAGTGCACGGGCTTCTCACTGTCGTGGCTTCTCTTGTTGCGGAGCACGGGCTGTAGGCACACAGGCTTCAGTAGTTGTGGCTCGCGGGCTCCAGAGCACAGGCTCAGTAGTTGGGGTGCTCGGGCTCAGCTGCTCCACGGCATGTGGGATCTTCCTGGACCACGGATAGAACCCGTGTCCCCTAGAAGTGGCAGGCAGATTCTTAACCACTGCACCACGAGGGAAGCCCAGATTTCCTGCTTTTTAAAACATAAGTCTCACTAGAAACTGATATGTTTTGAATGGTAGTCGTGGCTAAAGGTGGTTTTCCATTGTTTATTGAAGACTTGTCCTTATCCTCACAAAGGTAATTTCCCAAAGATGATGAATTTTATGGTATTGTTGGTGGACTCCAGTATTACTCTCGAAAGTGCCACCAAGCTTTCTTGTTCAAGTGCCAAATCCTGGGAAATGCTGCCATCTTGAATCTTGGTAATGCTTCTAGGGCCTGAGAGTGCTACTGAATCACAAGCTTCAGCTTAAGATCAGCTCCCCACAAGAAGCAGCATGAGACTATCTGTCAGTATTTTGAAGCCTAGAGCAAAATTTCTTCCTGGCTTTTGAAATACATGTTCAAGAAGGCATGCTCTTTGAAAAAAGACCCTTTAATCAGTACAGAAAATTTGCTTCAGTAAATAACCTATTTTCCAATCACTATCATGCGTCTGGTAGCAACTGTAGCCTCAGCACTCACCATTTTGCCTGTGGTTGGTAGCTGCTGCAGATGTCACGTGACTTCAAATCGAGTGACCAGGTTCCACCCCCATATAAGCAAAACTGGGTAGAGGCACACATCGTTGTATTGAGCTTCACTTTATTGCACTCCACAAATATTACACTTTTTACAAATTGAAGGTTTGTGGCAACCCTATGTCGAGCAAGTCTATCGACACCATTTTCTTTTTTAACATCTTTATTGGAATATAATTGCTTTACAATGGTGTGTTAGTTTCTGCTGTATAACAAAGCGAATCAGTTACACATATACATATGTTCCCATATCTCTTCCCTCTTGCGTCTCCCTGCCTCCCATCCTCCCTATCCCACCCCTCTAGGTGGTCACAGAGCACCAAGCTGATCTCCCTGTGCTATGCGGCTGCTTCCCACTAGCTATCTATTTTACGTTTGGTAGTGTATATATGTATCGACGCCATTTTCAATAGCATTTGCTCACTTTGTGTCTCTGTGTCACATTTTGGTAATTCTTGCACTATTTCAAACTTTTTCATTATTATATTTGTTATGGTGATCTTTGATCAGTGACCTTTTTAAAATTTTTATTGGAGTATAGTTGCTTTACAATGTTGTTAATCAGTGATCTTTGATGTTACTTTTGCAAAAAGATTGCGACTCACTAAAGGTTCAGATGATGGTTACCATTTTTTAGCAATAAAGTATTTTTAAATTAAGGTATGTAATTTTTTAGCTATAATGCTTTTGCAAACTTAATAGACTACAGTATAGTGAAAACATAACTTCTATATGCACTGGGAAACCAGAAAATTTGTGTGACTTGATTTACTATGATATTTGCTTTATCTCAGTGGTCTGGAAGCACACCCACAACATTGTCGAGGTAATGCCTGTATCTAAGTGCACAGCTTATGTAAGTGAAACTCACCTAGCAGTGGAGGCTTGTGATTTCGGCCGTTGTTGAAGACTTCAGATCTAGGACAGGATCAGATGGTGCCTGAGGGTCAGCATTAGACTCTCAGTTCTTCTCATGCCCCAGTACTGGTTACAGAGCTTTGAATGATGAAATGTCAGATTAAATCAATTCCTACTGCATATTGATACTCAAAAGGCATCTGCCTGGAATTTAGTGTTCATAAAGTACATAAGATTAGAAATAGTGTACAGTGACCTCTGTGCACAATATTAGCAAGAAATTAAGTTTACTGGAACCTCAGAAACACTTGCCTTTATGGAGTTCTGAGGTGAGCACAGCCTCTTCTTACAACTACCTACAGTAAAAGTAATACATGGTTCATGGATATCACCTTATTACTCTCCCAGGGTTTTCATTCTGTTCTGATGAATAAAAACCCTTGTGTAATTTGGCCTTCAGGAGTGAATGGTTAGGTTCTGATTTCAAAAGCAAATTTCATTTGACATCCAGCAAAATACATTTGTTATTCAACTGGTTTAGGGCATCCTCAAAGAAAGGATTATTTATTCCAAACCTCAAAGAAATTGCCTCAGAGACTCTGAGTCAATGCTAATGTCCAAATTAGATGAGATCATCTACATTAAAGATCCAATTCTGAAACCCTAGTGGTGCAACAATATTGGGCTAGCAGGCCTACTGCTCAGGGGACATCTAAAACTAGAAGGAGTGGGCTTTCTTTTAATTGGCCTGAGAGAGAGGGCATTGAGCTTTTAACATAGAGAGGCTCAAGTTGTATATCACTGGTACTTTGTTAATAAGTCCTCAGTGTGCAACATATGCAACAATCTGGTGACATGGCCCTCGCCTTAGGATGCATATATTCAGCATCAAGGCAAGAGTATAGGGCATTTGACACTTCCATAGAGTAGGCATTGTATTGTCACCTTATCTGCTCATAGATGCGAAAGACAGTCCTGTGGCAAGGGGGGAGGGGATCCCAAGGACCCCACTCCCGTGAGCCTCCATACTCTATTCCCAGTATGGCGGTTATGAGAAAAGGGATTTAAAGCACTAGAATCAAACTGCTGCTCCTTGTCAGGTCAAGGATTTTGTTTTCTATTTAGAGAACAGTGTCGGTACACCATTTTTTAGCTGCTCTACACATATTCTCTTAAGAGAGTCCCTGGTAATTGTCTTAATGGTAATTACATGCTTGGGGCAGTTGACATGCACTGTTATTTTTCAGAAAGTGGGGAACAAGGGACAGGAGCAAGAGAGGAAGAGGGAGAGTTTTGAGATAATGAAATGCTTTTAATGACAGAGCCACACCGTTAACCTAATTAAACTGTAAAGTGGTTTTAAAAAAATCCAGGTACTAAATGGAAATGAAGGCATAAATCAGCTGAGACAGCGGCACTTCTGGGAAACCTTCTGAATTCCGAATACTCTGACATTGCCGTGTAGGATTCTCGTGGTTATTCTCTGTCCACCCCACCTCCCCGGCCTTGTGCAGAGGTCTCTTAAACTGACCTGTCCAGTAGGCTTGATTTATGATGTCCATATCAGGTCTCCGGCTCCCCCAGGAGTGTGCGTTATATAGCTCATATATTTAAGAAGCCAGTGCAGTCAGTGGGACATGGTGGCAGAGCACTGGCTGCAGGGTCAGGAGAGCAGAGCTCTCCTCATTCTGCTGCTAACCACCTGTGGGACTTTGGACACTGTCACTTGGATCACTTTGCCATTTCTGTGCACTCATGGCTTCTGTGTGCTTTTGCACCTGCAACTCTCTTAGAAGAATTGCCCTTGGGCTTTTGGGTTCACTTTGCTCATAAGAGCAGAAAGCTGGAAGTCCTTGGGAGCTTACGTCCCATGAGGCAGCCCTTAGCCATTGACTGGCTGATACTGAGGCTGACAGCCCAGCTTTCATTGCATCTAAGCAGGACAGACTCTGAGGTGTAACTTACACTCCGGAGTTTCCTGTGGAATTAGGCTGAAGCCACTCCCGCAAAACTTTGTCTGAAATTGTGCCCTTGCTCGGTTTCTTTCTCTTCCCTGTCCTGCTTCCCCCACCTCCTTGCTGATTTCTCTTGGGAGTGTTTCTTGAATAGATGCCATGAATCCTCACCAAAGAGGCTGCTCTGGGTAATTTAACATAAGCAAGCACCTACTATAAAAGCACCAGCCACAGTTCCAATATCTAAAACTTGGAGGTGGTAGTGCTTGCCCTCAAGAGCGTTACAAAAGGTTTGCACGGTGATAGGACTCAAGCACTGGACAGGTTCACAGAGGGCTTCTTGCTAATTTCTTTTTACACCGTTGTCACCCACAACACTGGGAGTGGAAGGTGGCGTCCTCTATGACAGGGCACCCACCCTCTTCCCACAGCTGTACACCCCCAAGCCCACCCAAGCCGCTATGCTCCCCATTCTCTATTTTGATCTTGATCACTAATTTCCATCTGACCTAGCAGTAATTAACAAATCTTTTTCTCTCATAATCAAAGACAGGGATCTTGTGCAATCAGCCCAGGGATTTTACTTTTATTCCCATTGGTGTACGTCTCCAAAGAAAAGCACTAGGTTTATAGGTGAGGGAGGTCTTCGGTTTAGTGGGTAGAAGGGAAAGTTAAGAGACTTTTCAGAAGCCACATCAACTCCATCACTGATTCACAGTAGTCTTGACAAGTCCATTCGACATCTCACTATGTTCATCTCATCAGTGACAGAGCCATTAATATTTATAGACAGTCCACTAGGTACCTGAAATTATTCTAGGCACTGACTTTCTCTTGAAAAGCAGGGGAAGCGTCTATGATGCACCCACAGTAGTGGATGAAGATTAATTAATGTAAATAAGTAATTGTCTGAATAATGCAGAGCACCCGGACACCTCACAAATGGATACTGTGTAAACATTACGCTGGATGAGTAATGACAGCTAAGGGTTGATGGACAAATTTCCAGCAAATTTAAAGTCTCTGTCAACCAGTGAATGAAAGGAAGCATTTTCTTGATAGTTCATAATTGATGCTTTTGTTTTTCTGACTGCTGAGGCGGGGGAGAGAGACAGAGAAGTGAGCAGCCTGAACAGCAAGCTCTTGAGCCTGCAAGCTGACATCAAGAATCTACACGATGTCTGCAAGAGACAGGGGAAGACCCTGCAGGAGACTCAGCTCTGTGTGGAGGAGGAGATGATGGACAGCGGCCACGTAAGGGCTTCAACATCCGTTTCCCACCTCTGCCCCCTCCGCTTCCACCTCTGCCCCCTTGGGCAGGACCAATAATAGAAAGTTCTTCCACTGGTCATTCAAGAGCATTTATTGAGCAAGCAATGAGAAAGAATTAAACACACACACCCTAACACACACACACACACACACACACACACACACACACACACAAATGCCATCCCTGCCCTCAGAATTTTTCCATCTAGCTATCTCCAAGGTCATCTACATCTGAGCCTCTGTCTTTTCCTTATCTGGCCTTTCACACCTGGCTTTGCAGCATCTGAGGCCCATTGCCCTGAAAAGACCAGATCATAGTTATATAAAGAGAGTAGCATCTCTTAATGGATTTTAGACAAACTTCTAAATCACCCATGAAAATAACAACCATCCCACTTGCTCCAAGGTGTCACTTCCTATCGGTGCAGCAGGAGCTCTTTATTGCCACACCTGCAGCTCTCTGCCTACAAGCTTTTCTTCTGGAAGCAAGAACCCAATCATAGGACAAGGTGAAGTACAGAAGAGTTAATACCCCTAGAAGCAGCCCTCAACCAATGACTGATGGGTAGATGGTTGATTAAATAACCTATCTCCCTTGCCCTATCTCACTGGAGATAACTCCAGGCATGCTCTTTGCTCTGTCCCAGAGTTCCTCAGTGGGGCCCAGCATCAGTTGCCCAACAGTGCTAACTAGGTTGGTAACACACCCTTTCACAGTTTCCTTCCCTGCCTTGTTCATTTCCCCGCTCCCCCTACCTGAGTTTCCTAAAATCACCTTCCACATAAGCTGCTACTTGACGTCTGGTTCCTTGCCATAGGACTTGCTTCCAGAGGTGCCCGAGCCAAGATAGTCAGCAACACCTGTCCTGAACAGGAGGACCTCCTGGCATGATCATCTTTCTTGAGACTGTGATTTTGAACTAATACTTATCCATAGCCTAGGCAGTTCATCAGCTGAGGCAACTTCATTTCACCCTGAGGTTTTCTCCCTTGGAAACTCTAGCTCTAAACTCTTTAAGCCAGCCTCTAAATTTTTCCACACAAGCTGGGGAGCCAGCTGGGAGATATTTTCCCATAGCTCTGTAAACACTTTGGGTTGCCAAGAACTCCTAACTTGCAGTCTTCATTTCTGCTTAGGGACTTGAGTCCTTGGCAAACATAAGGCAGGTACTTGTTGCACAGACCTGTTGTTAGACCTCCAAGTTAGCATCTTAGGTGCTGTGTAAACCATCACCATCATCTTCAACATTTGCAGTCAAGGACCTGGTCTCTCTTAATTGTGTCTGTTAGAGTTCTCCCGGGACTTACCACCTCCCTATAAGAACTACAAATTGTTCCTCTGCAATGCCCTAAAAATGCTAACAACAAAATAATTCTACCTTGTCTTACTGAGCACTACTGTCCTTTCTGTAGGAAGTCACAAATATAGAAAAATCCATTGGTTTTCCTAAATGGATCCCAGGAAGAATATTACCATAATTTATTTTCTTCCAACATTTTAAGATATTTTCACCATTGCTGTTGCAAGTTTATTTATTCCCCCAGTCAGGGAAAGCCATGTGGCAAATAAATGTACCTGGCAACTTGGAGGGAGAAAGGTATTGTCACATTTTTATTCTAATTGCCCAGAAGAAGGTCGAACAGCTTGAAGCAAGCTTTAAAACATGCTCTTTTTTCCCCAGCACTTAGTGCAGGATTTAAATTGCAGACTACGAATACAAATACACAATTAGATGCAGATTTAACACTCATCTACTCAGAAAATCATGCAAGATCTGCCTTCCACAAGGAAATATAATATGGGAACAAAGGGGGAACCCAAGACTTTCTGAAATTTTGACTAATATCTGACAAGGAGCTGGAGAAATAAGCAGGAGGTCATAGTTCAGGACACAGTTGTGTGAAAAAATCAAAATATTATATCAGATGTTATGTGTAACTAAAGGAGTGGCAGGCAGAGGGTAGGTGACCTTGTAAATCAAGAATACGTTGTGCTCCAGATCCCACGAACAGAGAGAGCTGTGCCTAGGGGAAACCAAGTGAGGTGCCTAGGGTACAAAAAGTGCCCACCCTGTACTTGCTCAACCCTGAGACTGAATGCCTCCTTTAAATTTGCACATCACTTGCCTCACTCTAGTCCCAACCCTGCTCATGTATCAAAAGTGCCTCCATTAAAGTGAAAGGAGAAAAGGACAACAGAGATATCATAGTAAAACGATGATGAAACCAGAAAAAGAGCAGTTTCCCAGGCTCCTTTGGCCCCGGTGGTGGCATGGAGAGAATACCCTGATATTCAGTAGAGTTTGGATTGCCAAACTCATCTTTGCAGTGGACTGAGGAATTATTTTTAACAGAAAACTGTAAGAAATTTGATTTCTGCAGATAAAAGTAATTCATTGAATATATAAAGATTTAATACACTCGATGGAAATTATCACACAAAGATATCATTTTGAATGATTGGGAATAAAAAAACTTTAAGAGAAATTGCTAAATGCAATGTGGGATCTAGGATTGGCTCCTGGAACAGAAAAAAAAATAGTAGAAGAACTGATAAAATCCAAATAAACTATGTAGTATAAGTAATAGCAATTTACCAATGTTAACTTCCTAGTTGGACAAATGTACCATGGTTATGTAAAATGTTAACATTAGGGGAAGGTGAGTGAAGAGTATATGGGAACATTCTGTACTACTTTTGGAATTTTTCTGTAAATCTAAAATTATTCCAAAATAAAGAGGGTTTTTTTTTTTTAAGTGAATCTCTGGTAAATAGAGATCACTGATAAGAAAAATGTCTAAACCATGAAGATGTGTCCAGAAGAAATGGATGTCACTGAAACACACAGTTCTACACTCTACCAATATAAGAAAGTACAAGAAATGCAATTTGTAGAAGATATAAAAAGTAATAGGTGAACCTATCTAGTGATATAAGGCTAAACCAGGCTTACATGGGAAATATCTCACTTCCTACCTCAAAAATAGGGAAAGAAGTTCTGACAATGACTGGGAAAAGATGGGGCTTTTCCTCTTAAATGAAGAAAAATAAAAATTATCAGGGATTCAGTTTTCAGAGCAATGCTAACCTGAACAAAAGAGTCAGCGCAAACTAGGAGAGAGAATAAAATGGTTTAAAAGTATTTTGAAAAGCCGGCTTTAGGTAAAGCAGCAGGGCCTGATGACATACTTCGAAGAGAAGCAGCCGCACAGCACAGGGAGATCAGCTAGGTGGTTTGTGACCACCTAGAGGGGTGGGATAGGGAGGGTGGGAGGGAAGGAGACGCAAGAGGGAAGAGATATGGGAACATATGTATATGTATAACTGATTCACTTTGTTATACAGCAGAAACTAACACACCATTGTAAAGCAATTATACTCCAATAAAGATGTTAAAAAAAAAATAAGACCCAACGCAGCCAAAATAAATAAATAAATAAAGAGTACTTAAGGAATTGGCCGGTGTTATTACATAGCTGCTAGCGATTATTTTTGAGAACTCAAGGGGATAAAGAAAGTCCCTGTAGACTGAAAAAGGGTAAATGCAGTGCTCATCTTTTTAAAAAGGGAAAAAGGACAATCCCGGTAATTATAGACCTGTCAGCTTAACTTCAATATCAGGGAAAATATAGAACTTAACATCAATCAATTAGCATCAACTTGAAAAGCACAAAGTATTGGGTGGAAACCAACATGAGTTTTCAAAAGACGAATCGTGCCAGGCCAATTAATTTTCTTCTGTGATCAAGGGGCCACACAGGCAAGGAGGGAGCAGTAGCTATAATCTCTTCGACCATAAGTAGGGCTGAAAAGTAGTCTAAATATGGCAACAGTTCCTACAGGTGGCCAAGTCTCTATCTTTTAAGACAACTGAGGCCTGGACAGAAATCTATCTGAGAAACACTGGTAGACCAGATGGCCTCCAGAATCACGTCCAACCCTGGATGGCCACTTTAGGAACTGATCTTACTTCCATGAGATTATTTCCAACTTTCTCATTTTCTCCAGATCTCAGTTTAAAGGTCAAAGCAGAATCTAGTAAAATATCTATGTCTTCACTCTAAAGAAAACTTTTTTAAAAAAGAAGACAAAGAAGCAGTAGAAAATGCATTGATGCCTTTGTGACACTGCTTTTTGGTACAAATGTAAGTGAAATTCAGGCTTAATCCATAGTGTGTCATTTTCTATTCATGTAGAATTAAGAAAATAATCTTTTGAATACTTAAGGATAAATAAGTAGAAATTTAATAGGTCTCAGATAAGTCTAGGCATTTCTCCAAGTCTTTGAAATTTGATTCCTAAGCCCATAGGTATCTACAGTGTGCAAATGTTTAATCCTCATCCAAGAAAACTCTAGTTTCTCTGCAGGTATGAGCAGTTCTTGGATCTTTATAAGCAGGCAAATTAGATCAGGTACTACCTTTGCCTTGTACTGAAAGATTTTAGCGAACTCTCATCATCTGGTTGGTCTCTTATATTACCTCAAACCAAAATTAAACCCAGAAGTTTTAACATGTCCTCTGAGGAAGAGATGATTAGCAGTTCCCCAGTATCACTGCCAGGTTACTAAGCTTTATACTAGGAAAGGACATTCTTTACCCACAGGAGGCTTTAAAGTCAAAGAACAATTATGAACACACTAAAGTATAGATGATGTACTTGGAGGGGAAGCCCTAAGGAAAGAGTTTGGCTTCTTTAAAAGAAGAGCATTTCTCTTATTCTTTTGGGTAATGAAATAAGGGGAAGCAGAGATAGAATATAATGAGGAGACTAGTCAGTTTTCAACTGGGTCATACACATCCAGCAGTGGAGAGGCAGGTCCAAATCAATACTTGCACACAAGCACTAGAAGGACCAGGAATCCTGTTTCTTAATTTTCAGAGATCAAGTCACTGTCAACAAAGCCAAGAGAAACAGGATTGGAGCAAAATTTGGTAAGGATTTTATTGGGTATTAGCTTTACTAAAATAAGCCCTTCTGCAGTAACCATACACCAGATGTTCACTCCTTTGCTTTAGTTCTACCCACATTAAGTACTTATTCGCGACCATGTCTTTTTCCAATTAGCTCCCCACCCCACAGTTTACCTGTATAGACAGAGGACTTGGGCTCTTGAGAACCTCCCCCATATATGTTTCTGTGCATGCACACCTGAGCACACACACAGACACACACACACACACACACACACCCCGCTTCCAAGTCCCTTCTCTCTGAACCTCATTCACAGATGAGTTGTAAGAATAGCACAATTCTTATCTTGAAAAGAATGAAAGCACTTAACTAAAAACATTTATTATAAACGTTGGCAATTGTAGCTACACAGAGTAAATACAAAATTCAGCTTTGTTTGGCCTAGGAAAGAATTCTCTCAGGCCAAGGGTTCAGCTTGTCTTTGCCTGGGATTTTTTTTGCCTGGTGACCATTGTGGTGCATTTTCTGTTTTCTCTTTCAGATTGAACTGACACAGTCAGCTGTTGTCTTTCTGGCTCTGAACTGGGCTGATCAGCCTCTCTGATCTTATCTGTGCTGTCTCCACCCACTCTCACTACAGAAGATTTTCTCTCTTTTGGGTCCCAGCTCTTACTGAATTAATCTCTTTAACACTCCATCTCTCCAGTTACTCAGAGCAAAACCATGGAGTTATCCTGCCTTGTATGACCATTATCTCCCACCATCCCACATCTAACGCAGAAGCAAATCCTGTGGAGTCTACTTTCAAATATACATCTAAAATCCAGCCATCTCTCCCAACTCCTCCCTTGGTCCATGCCGCTGTCACTTCTCACCTGGATTCTTGCAGTAGCCTCCACGCTGGTCTCCCTGCTTCTATCTTTGGCTCCCTACAGTTCATTTTCAGTCTAACAGCCAGTGTGTCCTTTGTGACATCTACAGGAGATCACATCACTTCTCTGCTCAGTACACTCCACTGGCCTTTCACCTCTCTAAAAGGAAAAGTTAAAATTTTCAGAAAGGCCTACATGGTCCTAGGGGACCTCACCTCCCTTTCCTTTCTCACCTCATCTGGTACCGTTCTCCCGCTTACTGTCTCTGCTCCAGCCAGAACAAAGTGGCTTCTCAAACACCGCCAGGCACCTCCCACCTCCAGGCCTCAGCGCCTGCTATTACCTCTCACTGGAGTGTTCCTGTTGTAGATTCCCACCAGGCTCCTTCCCTGCCTCCTCCAAGTCTGGACTCAGATGTCACCTTCTCAAAGCGATCTTCCATGAAAACAAAATTAATTCAAAATTACAACTTCCTCCATCCTGGCATTCCTCATCTCCCTCCCCTGCTTTACTCTCCTCCACCGCACTTTTTCCTCTTAATAAACTACATAACTTACTTCTGTAATTTGCTACCTCTCTCTCTCTCTCTCTCTCTCTCTCTCTCTCTCTCTCATTCCCTCTCTCTGTCTCTCTCTTCCTCCACACATTCCCCCCAGTAGATGCAAAATTCTTGAAGGCAGAGATTCTGTTTTATATACTTCTGTATCCCCATTGCCTAGTCGAGTGCTTGGCACATAGCTGGTATTCCCTTAATATTTGCTAAACAAATTAACTAAATGAAAATATATTCACACAATAGCTACCATGTTAATGTTCATAGCAGCATTACTCATAATAGAAACCGAAGCAATCCAGCTATCTATTAACTGGTGAACAGATAAACAAAATATGGTATATTCATACTATTCAGCAGTAAAAATCAGTATTCAGAACAGAATCCTGATTCTTGCTACAGCCTGGATGAACCTCGAAAACATTATGCTAAGTGAAAGAAGCCAGACACAAAATATGACATATTATACAATTCCACTTATATGAAATGTCTGGAAAGGGCAAATTCATAGAGGCAGAAAACAGATTAGTGGTTGCCTGGAGCTGGGGTAGCAATGGGAGTGACAAATGGGCATGAGGGAATTTTCAAGGCGATGGAAACATTCCAAAACTGGATTGCAATCATGGCTGCCCAACTCTATAAACTTGCTACAAATCATTGAATTGTACACTTACAGTAGTTGAATTTTATGATATATAGAGAATACTTCAATAAAACAATTAAAAAAAGTTTATTTTAAAACACTTTGAAATTACTCTGTTAATGAGGCCAAGGCTACAAGCTCAAATTCTTGGGAGCCAATGAGATTGCTTATTCTCTATTTTGTTTCTTTCTTTCCTTCAATTCCTAGCTGTGTATGAATCTATAATCTAGGCCCTATAGGAGGAGACATAGCCCCTGCCCTTTGGGAATTTATAATCTAATTAAAAGATAAAATGCACAGAGATCATTACAATGCAAGGCAGAATATGAAATGCCACATTAAGGACATGCCAGGAAAGTGTTAAGTAGGAAGACAATAAGCAGAGAAGGGCGCTAAGGAGGGCCTACAGGCCACCCTCTTCACCCCCCTCTCTTCCACATGTCACCATGTTACTGAAAGTAGGATCCGACTGCTCGCTACTCTAAAGCCAGTACTCGAGACGCAAGGTTGGTAAAAGGAAACTTTGCTTTATTTCAGAGACTGGCAACTGGGGAGGAGGGCAGACTCACATCCAAAGGCTGACTCCCCCCACTGACAATCAGTGGGCAAGAGCTTTTAAAGCGGAGTTTCGGGGGTGTATATGTGGAGGGAGGGGGCTGCATGCAGAAACAGCACAGTCAGCCCTGACAGTCATCTTGAAATTGGTCATCGGTGGGTCTGATCAGCGTCATCTTGATTGTTTTAAGTACAGTTAATCTTTAGTTGCAGGGTGGGTTTGTTCCCATTTCTTTGAGCCCATTTCTCAGAATTGTGGCAGCTTATGTCATGGCTACAGTCTGGTCATCATGTAATTAACTTTTTTCACCTGGGGGTTTCAGTATCTACAAGACAGCTCAAGGGATATGGCTCAGAATATTATCTATAGCCCTTGAGGAGGAACTAAATGTCCTTGACTTTGTTTAATGACTAAACTATTATTAGTGGGTCTTGTTTGACTGCTTTACTTTGCTTCTGCATTTTCTCACTTCTCTGATAAAACTTATTCTTTGGCTAAAGTTTTTCTACAGACAAAAGGCAGGCAGAGCACATGGAGGGGAGGACCATAGGGTCCTGCTCCATTTCAACCAGGAATATTGGGCAAGAAAATATAGAAGCATCAGTGCAAAGGTCTCAGTCGTACTAGAATAAACAACTCAGGGTTGTGTCCTATTAGCAGAATACCTGATACAGTGTAGGTGTTCAACATATGCTTATTGAATGAATGAATGAAAATGTAGGTGGGGTGTGGCAGCATTTCAGGTTGATTGTAGACTGGCAGGGAGAGATCTCACACACACACATACACACGCACACACACACACACACACACACACACACACACACACACTCAGCATCTGCAAGGTCACATCTGCCTTCAGAAGGAGACAGAGTCAGTGCCCAGATGTGCCTGAACAATATCTCTGCCTCCCGTTTCCCAGCATTCCAGAAAGCTACTTCCCCAAGAGTTTGTCCTTTTATCTGGGCATTTTTAATAATCAAGTTTAGTCCAAGAACCATAACCAGAAATTCATTCCCTTCCAGGTCGATTGTGTTATCTTTATACGTGAAGACAAAACATAAGCATATTATCGAGTGTATCTTTATACTACTCTCTAGGTTCTTTATGTGAATGTTTTCTCTTCTGACCTACATAATAGGAATGGTAGATCTGAATAGTAGGAAGAAACTATGGTTTTTTCCTTCTTTTAAATCCTTCCCATAGAGTGGAAGTGCAAAGTGATGTTTAATTGTGAATAGAGTGAAATGTTTAATAAGTGCTCTGGAGATGAAAAGATAAATGGATGCATAGATGGATGTGAATGGTTGAACAAATGAAAAAAATCAAAGAATGAATGCCTGCTTGGTGACAATCTAAAGCCTTTCTGTATATTTGATCTCAATTACAGGATAAGAAGCAAGTGTCAGCATTTGAGGAGTCACACATGGAGTTTGAGCCCAATAAACAGTGTCATCTGAGACAACTCCAACAGCTCAAGAAAAAGTTGCTGGCCCTTCAGCAAGAACTGGAGTTTCGCACCGAGGAGCTGCAGACTTCTTACTGTTCCCTCCTGCAGTATCAGTCCATCCTGGAGAAGGAGACTTCCGACCTGGTCATTCTCCACCATCACTGCAAGATGAAAGAAGATGAGGTATAGATAAAGTAACTATGGAAATGTCCCATATGCCCATGTACCTACAGAAATCAGGCCAAAGCTACTAGAAAGCAAGCATTGGACTTAGAGAAGAGCTTCACAACATCTTGAGCAGGTTTTATCAACTTTCCCTCTTTAAGTCTTGATTTTTTTTGAAGCTGAACAGAGGGAACTAAACAGAATGGCATAATTGGGTGAAAGCTCCAGTATTAATGCACATGGGGTATGTGGTATGTGTGTACATGTGTGGGAGGTGTGTATGTGCACGCACATATATGTGTATGGTGTGCATGTAGGTTTATCATCTCCATTCTATTACCATGGCAATTTAAATGCAAAAGACTCTGGTTCTCTGAGGGTTATGAAGGAGGTATAAGGTCTATTAAGTCAATCATTTTTAGAAAAATCAGGTTTTGGTCATATATACATTCCTGGCACTTGCACAGTTGATAAGATAACAAGACACTGAGTCTGAGTCAATCGCTGACAGCACCAGATCAGTCATTTTTTTCAGACTAGAGTTTTAGATCACATAGACTTAGCTTAAGTACATTCTGGACATTCATTTCTATTCATGTCCGAGGATAGTATTTTTTTTTAAACCAGAGAGTATCATCCTTGTAGAATCCCAAGTAAATTCCAAAGAACAAAACCATAGAACTAAAATCAGTTGGGAAGTGATAGCACTGGCAGTAGTAAAACCATGGGTTCAAAGGAATGGGACAGGGACTTCCCTCGTGGCGCAATGGTTAAGAATCTACCTGCCAACGCAGGGGACACAGGTTCGAGCTCTGGTCCGGGAAGATCCCACATGCCGTGGAGCACCTAAGCCCGTGCGCAACTATTGAGCCTGCGCACTAGAGCCCGCGAGCCACAACTACTGAGCCTGCTCTCTAGAGCCCGCGAGCCATAACTACTGAACCTTCATGCCACAACTACTGAAGCCCGCGCACCTAGAGCCTGTGCTCCACCAACAAGAGAAGCCACCGCAATGAGAAGCCCTCACACCGCAACAAAGAGCAGCCCCTGCTTGCCGCAACTAGAGAAAGCCCGTGCGCAGCAACGAAGACCCAATGCAGCCATAAATAAATAAATACATTTATTAAAAAAAAAAAAAGGGAATGGGACAGGCAGCCTCCTCTGGCATTTTCTTCCTCTGCCCTTAAAGATAAAATTCCAAGGGCTATCTTGAATGGTGCTGTTTTAAGAACTAACTCCAGGGGTTTTATGAAGGGCCTTAAAGAACATGGAATTTTTTTTAAAGGAAATATTATGGCCAATAAGAATTTGCTGAAAAGGACTGGGAGGGAAAGGAACAAAGAAAGGTTATCCTACATAATATAATCTGGGACAAAGCCTGTGAGCATAAAACATGGTTTAATAAAGCTAATGCAGGGCTGTGTTAAAACTGTCTGGTTCATCTTAACTTAAACAAGAGTCCAGCCTAGATAAAGTCACCCTGAATTAGTTGGGATTCTATTTGGCTGCATATAACAGAAAACCCCGTAGTAATAGTGTCTTAAATAAGATAGTTTATTTCTATGACATATAAAAGAAGGTCAGAGAGAGGTAGTCTAGGACTGTTATGGTAACTACATGTGTCATCAGATACATAGGGTTCTGTCTTTCAGCACCACCATCATCAGCCCAAGGCTTCCATTTTCTAGTTCACCTAAGACAGCTGCTGGAGCTCCAACCATCACATCTTCATTCCAAATAATCGGGTGGGAGGTGGGGTGGGGAGAGAAAGGCACACTCCTCCCTTTTAAGGACACTTCCCAGGAGCTGCACACAACACTTTCACTTATATACCATTGGCGAGAATTAGTCACATAGCTACAGCTAGTTCTTAGGAAGGCAAGGAAATGCAGTGTTTTAGTGAGGCTCACTATTGTCCCAAATAAAGTCAAGGTGTGGGATTCGGCAGGCAGCAGTCACAAAATGGGAAAACTTTGGAAAAATTACTTTAGGCATTCTGCCAAGTTCCCCCAATATTTTGTTCACAGAAGTATCAAACTTCTGTCTAATGTTGGGTTTCCCAACAACAGATCTTAAGGAGATGAATATAAGTACTAGTCAATTCAGGAGGTGATCCCAGGAAGCATGGTGGGAGAATAGGGAAGTGAGTCAAACAAAGGCAGGAAGCCCATAAAGAAAATCAAGAAGATCACTGCTATGGGAAACTGAGGTTCAATCCCTCTGGAGAATTCTGGGAGATAATGTAGAACACCCCTCAGATTGATCCCAGCCAACCACCCCAGTCATTGGTTGAGAGTTGCACCTGAGGGTATTAAACTCCCCAGTGCTTGTCACTTGCCTTGTCTTGCTCCTCTGCTTGAGTGGACTCCTGGGGCCAGAGCAACGCTCAGGCAAAGAGTTGAAGATGCTTGTGGTTGGAGTGGGGTTAGCATGCAAAGAGATGGTGGGTGTCAAGGGGATATGAGCTTCCGTTATAAACGTTTGAATATAAAATATTCCTTTCCTCTTTTCCTTACCAAATAAACACCTCAAACTAAATGATTTTCTCCCAAGACGAATCTCAAATGACAGGCAGCAAATATATTAGCTTAGACCAATAAAATGTGTTCTGTCTGAATTCTACTGAACTATTTGAACCCAAATGAAGCCTTCCTGATGACCCTCCTGCTCTTAACTTTTCAACACATATAATTCAAGCTATATAATTTAGCTCACTCAACAGTTGTTTGCTAGTTTTAAATCGTATCTCTCCCCGATTTGTAAGAGTTTGTAAATTCTTTGAGGGAGGAGCCTATGTTATATAGGTATACATACCCCTAAGCACCCAAAACAGTGTTCATGAGCATTCAATAAATATCTGTCAGTTGGTTGACTAATTAATTGATTAGGAAGAAAAAGAACCTAAATAAGGATGCTGCAAATCCCAGAGGATCTTCGGGTCATGTTCCCCCACTATCTCTAGGGAACTTTGCTGACATGGGCCTGTGTGCACGAGGGGCTCCACATTTTCTAAATTAGACCTCTAGAGAATACATAGGAAAGAAAGAATACTGGCATTTTAAGCCCTTAAAAAATGGAGCTATACATTCATTCTTATTAATCAACTAACAAGTCCTTATTGAATTAACTACATACCAGACAGAATGAGAAATAGATATGGTCCCTGCCTTTAAAAAGCTTACCATCTAAACAGGACAAACTTAAAAAAAAATTTCTAATCATTAACATTCTGATTTTATGTATTGTAGTTTTTAGATCTGAGCTGGGCCTGTTCTTTGCATCTGGGTTTCTAGTTAAGATATGAGACTCCTCTGCATGTGGTCTTATAGCAATATCCTTTCCTCGTTAGATGCTTCTATGGGTTCAGTGTTGTTGTTTTTTCCTACACCAACAGGTGATTCTCTATGAGGAGGAAACAGGAAATCATAATGAGAACACAGGGGAGAAGCTCCATTTGGCCCAGGAGCAACTCGCCTTGGCCAGGGACAAAATCCTCTCCCTAGAAAGGAGCTTAAACCTCTACAGGGATAAATACCAGACTTCCCTGAGCAGCATCGAGTTACTGGAGTGCCGAGTGAAGATATTGGAGGGGGAGCTCAGCAGGATCGTCGGTCAGGTAGGACTTAAACCAGACCACTCAGACCAGGAGCTCCCAGGTGGTCCCTGTAACAGTCCCAGCCTCTCTGCCAGAAACCCAAACCTTCAATTAGTTGTCATTCCTTCCCTTGAATTTTGTAGCCCTCAGTTTTGCACTTCCAGCCTTCACATCTCCTGTAAGATTGCTCCTTAGGAATTTTAAGGCTCCTTAATTAATTTAAGGAGCCACAACTTCACATAAGGCAGAAAGTGAATTACCAAATGAGCTCTCAAATCTTCCATGTTGCCATGGGGGTCCGGCAGGGGGCTATTCCAGGTCACAGGACTCATGGAAACCATAGCGTCAGGATTAAATAGGAGGAGAAAGCCAAAAAACATAGCAAAGAAGTGACTGAACTTGTTTCTTTTTTCTTTCAATTGCTTTTTAAAATTACACAAGTAATACAACAATCTAGGCTCTCTAGACAGAATTATGGATATTAAATGTAAAAGCCCACCTTCAGCCTTCTCCGCCCCACTCTTCTCCCGCTAGGCAATCACCCGAAATGTTCTGGCAATCTTCCCCATCCTATTGCTATGTAAAAAGTTAGAGTTTTCTTTTTACATAAATGAGTCATTTTATAAATATGGTTCTACACTTTGCTTTTTAAATGTATATCTTGATGATTTCTTCTAGTTACTACCTTGTATTCTGTAGTATGACTGTACCCTGTACCATCTACTGACCTGTTTGTCTACTACAAACAAGCTGTAAATGAACATCTTTATCTCTACGGGGTTAATTCCTGAAGTGGGATTTTGCTGGGTTAAAGGAAATGCTTATTTTTAATGTTTAAAGATACTTCTAAATTGAACACCAAAAAGGTTCTACCAGTTTACACTTTTACCGACAATAATTTCCCTACACTCACAGGGTATGTTTTCAGTCTTTTTAAGTTGTGCTAAACTGATGGATGGGGAAAAAAATAGATTTTCTCAATTTTTATTTCCTTTAGTTCTAATAGCTGTGGGTTGGGTTCCCCAGGAAGCAGACTCTGAGACAGACTGGTATGCAGGACGTTTTTAGAGAAAGCTCTTGGCATCAACACCTGGGAAGGGGAGGAAGCAGGGTTGGGCAGATGGAGAAGCTGGGCTCTGATGGTCCCAGCAAAGGCCTCAGCCAACCTCACGGAGAGCTCTGGGGCTGGAAGGACCTTTAGAGCTATTCTAAATTCGGGAGAAGGGAGCTGGCCTTTATAGCTCCATGTTGATCAGTGATTGGATGTGAGCTGTCTTCCTAGGGAGAGACATGACCTTGGGCAAAAGTTTTCTTCAGCCCAGGCAATCCCCAAGAGGGCTGACAGCTGAGGCTATCTTAGGGCATCACGCCCAGCAGCTGGAGGAGTAAGTCCTTCACTGCTGAAGGGGATCTGTGAGGCCCATCACAGCTCCCACCTTGTGAATGAAGTAGTGAGCCTGTTCATAAGTGTATCGGTCCTGTGGATTTCTCTTTTACGAATTGCTTTTAAATCCTTAACCAATTTTTTATTGGGTTGTTAGTCTTTTTTGTGTTGACTTATAGGAGGTTCTTAATATATTACAGGTAATAATGCTTCATTATATAAGTTATAAATATTTTCTCCCAGTTTGTAACTTTTCATTTTCTCTTATTAATGGTATTTTTCAACATACAAAACTTTTGAATTTTTATGAAGTTAAATCTCTTAGCTCTTCTTTATAGATTCTAGGTTTTATGTCTTGTTTAGGAAGGCCTTCACTACCCTCAAAATTGCAAAAGTTTATCTTATATTGTCTTTTAGCACTTCTTAAAATTTTATTTATTTTATTTATTTATTTTTAGCTGTGTTGGGTCTTCGTTGCTGTGCGTGGGCTTTTCTCTAGTTGCGGTGAGCGGGGGCTACTCTTCCTTGTGGTGCGCGGGCTTCTCATTGCGGTGGCTTCCCTTGTGGCGGAGCACAGGCTCTAGGTGCACAGGCCTCAGTAGTTGTGGCACGTGGGCTCAGTAGTTGTGGCTCGCAGGCTCAGTAGTTGTGGCACGTGGGCTTAGTTGATCCACAGCATGTGGGATCTTCCTGGACCAGGGCTCGAACCCGTGTCCCCTGCGTTGGTAGGCGGATTCTTAATCACTGCACAACCAGGGAAGCCCTAGCACTTTTATAATTTTGTATTTCTATGTTTTTAGCTTTAGTCCACCTGGAATATACACATACATATATATATATAATGCACACACACATATATATATATTTTATATATACATAATGAGAGTATCATCTTACTGTTTCTTAACTTTTTTATTGTTTTCCATTCCTTTTTCCACATAGACACTGAATTATTTATACACTCATGGGCAGCTTTCATGCTCAGTGAACATGAACTATTTCTAACTTTGCCTGAAAAAGCCCAGTTAGGGAGACAGTTTAATGGAGAAAGTATCTACCATCCAAACTAGGACTTTTTGCTCTTTTTTGCCTGTCTGCGTCAGTTCACCCCATTATTAGTGCAGACCAGTGAACAGGTAGTAACCTTCATGCATGATTTCAGATGATCTAGAGAAAGACATTTTTTAAAAAAATGCACTTCTAGGAAAAGAGCCATATTCATGGTGATGAGAGTGTCAATTGGTATGTTTTCTTTGAAGGACAATTGTGCAATATCAAAGTTTTAAATAGATCCAATTTAAATAGATTACTACTTCTACAAATTTAATCTATACATAAATTAGAATAGGTACTCAAAGATTTATGTGCAAAAATATTCATTTCAGCTTCGTTTTAGAAAAAACTTGGAAGCAACATATATTCCCATCAATAGAAGACTGGATAAACATATTTAAAAGCAATTTAAAAGAACAAGATAAAAGCACATGTACTAACATGGATAAATTTCTAAGGCATCTTGTTGAGAAAAAAAATGTTTCAAAAAGACAAAATAATATATGTATTCTACAATATTCATTTATATGTATGTAAATGTATAGAAAGTTCTAGAAGGATATGCACAAATTGTCATCTCTGGAGAATGCAGCAAGTATGGGATTAGAGGTGGTGGTCAAAGAGAAATTTAGACTTGCCTGTAATATTACAATGTTTTAGAAAGATTACATATATATGTGTGTGTGTATTACTCGTGCAGTTTGAAATTAATTTTAAAAGAAGAGTAAGATAGATCCACAAACAGCAATATGGAAAATATCCTAAATAAGTGGCCAAGTGAAAACACAATGTTTAGAATAGTATGCAGAAGGCTTTCATTTGGTAGGGGAAGAGTAGGGGGTTATATACTTATACATATACGCATATATAAATATGCATAAATTATCCCCAGAAGGATATACAAAAAACTGGGAACACAGACCGTCATGGAAAAGGGGACCTGTGTCATGGAGGGTCAAGACTGACTTTTCAGTGTATTCTCTTGTGAACGCTTTGAACTTTTTACCGTGTGTGCACTTAATTTTTTTCTTTTGTTAAGGAAGCTCTGATTCACATATATGAATATAAACTTTTAGAATACAGGTCTAGAGATCTTCCATGTTCATGGCATATTGAAATTGACTCGAAAATTATGAACAAAATCAACCTATTATTTTTAAATATCCCAGGAGCCCAAGAGTAATGGTGATCATTCAAAGGTGCATATATACACTTCTCCCTGCATGATTCAAGAGCATCAGGAGACCCTGAAACGACTATCTGAAGTCTGGCAGAAGGTCTCTGAGCAGGATGATCTAATAAAGGAACTTCGAAATAAGCTAGCCTGCAGTAACGCTTTGGTAAGTGTCTCCTTCTAGAACATTTTCCCAAGAGACCCAAAATAAAGCCATGAGGAAAGAGAGGAGGGGAAAAGAGTCACCTAAAGTAATCTCTTTTCCAGTACTCCTCAAATGTCTTACATATTCATGTCCCTGCCTCTTGTTCATATTCTCCATGGTGTGCATCCCCCAACCCACACTAAGATTCTAAAGAGACTTAAAATCTCACGCAACAACCAGGGTGTCCATCAGTAGGGAAATAGTTAAAGAGATTAAGAGAAATGATTAAAGAGCTATCCATATTATGGAATAATACACAGCCAAGGAAAAAGATTAAGCAGATCTGTAAGGGCTGCATGGAAGATATTTGCGATACACTGTTGAGAAAAAGTTGCAGAATCTTATGTATAGTTCAATCCCACTTTTGTTTTTTAAAGTCTTTGATCGTAATATAGAAGTATATACTGTAAATTGCCAATAGTGCCCCCTCCCCCTTAGTAGAAGTGAGAGAGGGGACAATAAGTGGATAGGAGAGTCTCACTTCTTATTTTCAATGCTTGGGTTCTATGTGAATTATTTTCAACAAACAAAAACAAAAGTTTCATATTTTTTTAATTTTAAAAAACACGTACACATTCACCCACTCCAAAAGAAACTTCCTTCTTTATTTCTTGAACTTTGAATCCTATCTTCTGAGAGATTCAGTACATCTTTCCGTCACAGCCTCCAAAGAATCTTCTTCTGCCTCATAAACTGGACTGCACAGAGGATCAAGAGGGAGTCCAAAATGTGGCCATTGACGGACTTGAGACAAATCACTGTCTATGCCTTAGTGAACCTTGATATAAGATTGAGAACATAATTCCTTCTCCTTAGTTTATATAATATGAATTATATAATGCTGCAACAAACTTGGGCTGAGAAAGGAACACCCTGCAAAAATAGCACTAGTAATAAGCCAGTTGCATTGATCATCCAGCATAACTGACTTGTGCTGGGTTGCAGGTTCTGGAGCGTGAAGAGGCTTTGATAAAATTACAAGCAGACTTTGCTTCCTATACAGCCACCCACCGACATCCCTCTAGCTCCTCAGAAGATTGTGAAGACATCAAAAAGGTGGGAGAACTTTTGCTTATGTGTGCCTGGTAGGATTGGGCCGAGTTGGGTTTGATTCTGGGTTCTCCTACTTGTTAAAATATTTATACTACATTTTATATTTTATTTTATATTTGTGTCACTTTGATTAGCCCTGCCACAAGGATCGTGTATATAATGTATGCCACGCCCCCAAGGAGTGCGTCTGGCATGATTAGATTTTGGAATTGAATTTTGGAATTGCACCTGTCTCTTAACTCACATCCAATGGTACATCTAAACAAGACAGAGGCTCCTTTTGGCTTGCTAGCTTCAAAAGAACCATCCAGCCTTCTAGTTTCTGGCTGGAGTTGAAAAGCAACAAATTTAGGGAAGATTATTAATTCAAATCCACTCCCTTTAAAAAAAAACTCTTATGTTTTCAAAATTCAAAGCCATCTCAAAAGTTGATTCTAATAATGAATAAGCATTTAAACCATGGAAACAAATCACACGATTTGACCAACAAATATGACAGTGAAAACTAGGTTAGGGTCCCTTCTAGGAGGTCTGAAGTCAGTCATGCCTGAACTCGAGGTACAAGGCAAAGCCAGCCACACGAGGCCATGCTGATGCTGAAATAGTGGCAAAGCGGAGTGGCAGAGAGAGTCAACACATCAGCTCTCCAAGGGATCCTCTAGCTGGGGAGTGGAGATGCTTCTTTTTCCAGGACTTTCTGATCCCACAAGGTTTGGATGAACTTTGGAGCTCTTCCTTGTACATCTGTCAATATTTATTTTAAAAGTCAGTCCCATGTTATTCACATCCTGACCTACAGCAAGATCTCATACACTCCATGTTTGTTTTCTTTTTGTCTGAGAAATGTCTTTATTTCTCCCTCACTTTTTAATTTTTTATAGTGGTAAAAAACACATAACATTAAATTGACCATCTTAACCATTTTTAAGTGTACAGTTAGTTGTGTTAAGTATATTCTCATTGTTGTGCAATAAATCTCTAGAACTTTTTCATCTTGCGAAACTGAAACTGTATCTACTAAACACAAATTCTTCTTTAATACTCCATTCTTCTTTAATACTCCATTCTTCTTTAATACTCCATTTTCTAAAATGATACAGACTTCCTCAAGAAACAGAATCCACTTTCACCCACCATTTTGTATATCCTACCCAAAGCCTTCACATTATTTGAACATTCTATTCAGGCTAGAACTACCCACATCACAGTTAGTGCCAGCCGTCCTCTCCTCCCTCAGCTGGCCTGGCACACACTGGGCCTTTGAGTCGCTGTAGGGCCCACACCCAGGTCAGACGGTGATTGCCCTGCATTTCTCCAGCTGTCCCCCTCTGTCTTCTTGCTGCAACCCTCCTTCATTGTCAACTGTGAAATCACATAACTATCTCCCCAGCATCCCCTGATGCCCAGACAACTAATTGTTCCTTCTTGGCCACGTGTGCATGTTCCTTCCTGGTTTCTCTGGTTACAGCCCCTTCCCCTCTCCTTCAGGGTAGAAGCCAAAGTTCTTGCTGAGGGACTAAGAGCCCTCTGTGATGTGACTACCCCCTAACTTCCTCACCTCCTCTCCTCCTCCTCCTCTCTCCATCACTCACTCCACTCTAACCACATGGCCTCCTGCATGTTCTGCCCCCAGGGCCTTGTCATCAGCTAGCACTGCCTGCTCCCCCAACTGCAGAGCTCGTCCCTCAGATACCTCAACATGGCTCACGCCCTCACCTCCAGCAAGTGCCTGCTCAGAGGCCACCTTCTCAGTGAGGCCAACCCATCTATCCTATTTAAAACTGTAACCCACAGCCTCGCCCCTGCCTGCCCCATACATCTCCATTCCCCTTTTGCTGTTCTGTTTCTTCCATAGCACTTATCAACTTTTGTTTTCTGTAAGTCACTACTTTACGCTCTTTGTCTGTCTCATCCCACCAGAAGGTCAGCTCCCTGGGGTTAAGAATTGGTGTCTGTGTCGTTTGCAGCACCTACAGTGCACACAGTGCCTGGCACACAGTAGGTGTCTTATCAATGACACTGAGTGTTACAGGGAGGAAGAGGGGGCTCCTTTTGTGCACATTCCATTCCGTGTGGGCATGAGAAGAAGTCTGCCATGTCCTTTCTTTTCTAACTCTCTTTTTACTTTTTAAATTGAGATATAATTGACATACCAGAAAACTCACCATTTAAAGTGTGCAATCAGAATGGACTTGAGGACATGGGGAGGGGGAAGGGTAAGCTGGGACGAAGTGAGAGAGTGGCATGGACATATATACACTACCAAACGTAAAATAGATAGCTAGTGGGAAGCAGCCGCATAGCACAGGGAGATCAGCTTGGTGCTTTGTGACCACCTAGAGGGGTGGGATAGGGAGGATGGGAGGGAGGAAGATGCAAAAGGGAGGAAATATGGGGACATATGTATATGTATAGCTGATTCACTTTGTTATAAAGCAGAAACTAACACACCATTGTAAAGCAATTTTACTCCAATAAAGATGTTTAAAAAAATAAAATAAAATAAAAATAAAGTGTACAATCATTGGTTTTTAGTGTATTCACAAAGTTAGGCAACAGCACCACTAATTCCAGAACATTTTCATCACTCCAAAAAGAAACCCATATCCACGAGCAGTCACCCCCCCCATCCCCCCTCCCGCAAACCCTGGCAACCACTATTCTGCTTTCCGTCCCTACGGATTTGCCTGTTCTGGACACTCAGAATTCTGTAAAGCTTTCTTCCCCCATGTCCTCACCCTGCCCTGCTCTTCCATCTGCCCAGATACTGAAGCACCTGCAGGAGCAGAAAGACAGCCAGTGCTCGCACGTGGAGGAGTACCAGAACCTCGTGAAGGATTTGCGCACGGAGCTAGAAGCCGTGTCAGAAGAGAAGAAAAGCATCATGGAGGGTAAACCGTGGGCCAGCGGGCTGCAGCAGAGGGTAGGCAGCCAAGGAAGCCGGAGCCCCGCTCTGAGCAAGAAGCGCTCTGTCTTGTCCCGCTGCAGACATGTTGAAGCTGGAGCTGGACCTGCACAGGCTGCGGGAAGAGACATCTGCCCGCTTGGAGAGGAAGGACAAGGAGGTCGTCATCCTGCAACGGCGACTGCAGGAGCTGCAGGTGCAGTTCACTGAGACCCAGAAGCTCGGTTTGAAGAAAGACAAGGTAAGGCGAGGAGCTCCGTGGTTGGAACTGCCAGCAGGGCCCTGTGAGGCCAGGCCTCGGCAGAGGCGGGCTCTGTGGCCCCACACTCGCTGTGATTGCTTGGGGAGCACCCATACATGCGCAGTGAGACTGCGGTGCTTCAGGCCCAGGGGCAATTCTGAGCTCTTCCTTGGAATTTCTCATGGCACGTAATAAATAAATAAAACATCAGGAGCCTTAATAGAGATGTGGACTCTGTGTAAGAAAGGGGTTCTTCCCCAGCCCTACAATAGTGAGTTTGGGACACGCTCGTATTATTCCCTTATGCTTTTGTTTATGCCTAAGAGTAGAAAGAAATGCTATAGAATAATGTGTAGCCTTATTCACAATTTCATGTGAATTTCAATTCTTTAATTACAAATAACTTACAAATATGCAAACCAGGCAGTTTGAAAATATTAGTGGAAATATGCCCTAGAAGGTCTGTAGTTACCAACGTAAATCAAGCTCCTAGAAAAGCGTAAGACTGGAACCAAGGGCAGAAAGACTGAAACCAGCGCAAGTTTTTGTAGTCAGTACTGTTTCAACTCTAAACTTTTATCAGAGCTAGTGGAAATAATCCAATTGATTTGAGTGGCTGGTCATTCAAACTTCCTATTTCAAGGTCTGGAGGTGATTCACCAGTCAAAATGGAGGTATTTGGAGAGATGTTGAAGAAGCAGCAAGGAGTCTGGATAAGCAGCTTCGAGTCACTCATATATTCATTCAACAGATACTTTTGAGATCCTATTATATGCCAAGCACTCTTCTAGGCATAAGAATATAATAAAACATGTGCCATCCCTACTTTCATGGAGCTTACATTCCAGTCTTTAGAGACAAACAAATAAAACTAATACACAATAAAATGTTAGGTACTAATGAATTCCTAAAACAGCTTGGTGGCTGTTTTCCCCAGAGTGGTCGGGGGAGGCCTCTTTGATAAGGTGACATTTGGGCAGACATTTGAATGAAGTAAGGGGGCCACCCAGGCCAAAGTCTTGAAGAATATTCCAGGCAGAGGCAACATCAAGGGCGAGTGCCCTCAGGTGGGAGTCAGCTCGGAAGCAGAGAGGGTGGGGCGGCAAGAGGTGAGGTCAGACAGGTAGCCAAGAACCAGATCATGAGCGTCCCGGGATGTCGTTGTAAGGACTTTGGTCTTTTTCTAACTGAGATGGACCCAGTAGAGGTTTTGAACAGAGACATAACAAGATCTGACTCGCATTTGTAAAAGCCCAACTCTGACTGCTACAGGGAGGCAGGGAGCCCAGGTGGAGGCTATTGCAACATCCAGGCAAGAGAAGACGGTGGCTGGAAGAGGGCTCAAGACAATCTCTAACTGACTTCGCCCTGCCGCTGCTCAGGCCTCTATCAGCATTAACACTTTGCTTTCCTCAGCTCCTCCAGGAGAAAGATGAGATGCTGCAGGAGCTAGAGAAGGACCTGGCACAGGTTAAGAACACCCTCGTAAAAAAGGAGATGGAGTTGGAGAAGCAGCAATGCATGACAAGAGAACTCGAAGTTGCCATCCAGGAGGAGAGACGGGATAAGTGCAAGGCCGAGTATGGGCACCTGGGAGCTGAGATCAAGAAGCTGAAGGACTGTCTCGAAGATGCCAAACAGCAGCACAGGCTGGCTGGTGAGGCCCCCGGGCAAGCACTGTCCCCACACACTCCAACCCATGGGGCCAGAGCAGCCCCCTCCTTTCCCCAAATGGCCGTGTCCCTCTCCCTCACCGCTTTCTCACTCCGATCTCCTCATGATCTCATCTCATCTCACAGCAGTTAGGACCGCCCTCTAAGCTCCTTCCTTCACCCCAACCTTACCTTTTCTCTGAAGCCCCCATCACACAGCAGGTGCTCGGGTTGGGAAGGCAGACCACTGCTCTCACACGCCCACCGTTTTCTCTGCAGCCTCAGCTGAAGGTCCTCTCCTTTCCTCACCACGGAGAGCACAGGGCTCTGTACCTTGCTTCTTTGTACCACATTCCTCTCCACCTTCTCTGGGACCTTTGTCACACCATTCATTTCTTCCTTCCCTGGTTTTTAACACTCTCCTTTTTTGGTCTACACACACATTTGCTTGCAGTGTGGGTTGTGTCCTTGCTCCTTTGCCCAAAGTGCTTTCTCAGAAGTCACCAGTAACTTCTTGCCTTGGAAATGGGGTTGCCTTTGAGTGATAAAAATGTCCTGGAATTAGATGTTGATGGTTGCACAACTTTGTGAGGCTACTAGAAACCACTGTACTGTACACTTTAAAAGGATAAATTTTATGTTATGTGAGTGATGTATCAATTTGGGGGAAAAAAAGAAGGTCCAAAGCACGTCTTCCTTCCTCGCCCTCCTCTAACTCTCTGGGTGTCCACACTGTTGGTTCCCCGCACCTCAACGGTTGTTTATTAGCTTTGGAGACACAACAGGTCCCTTGTTCTTCCATAAATCTCACCACTGTTTCCTCTTTTTCCTCCTGCCCTGACAGTGGTCACCCATCTCTAAGATTCTGCCCTCTCCTCTCCTCTCTACACTCATTCCTTGGTGAGCGCCTCTGCTCCTTGTAGCTGCATTTCTCTGCAGGTGACTCCAATGCCTAGAGCCCCAGCCCTGACTTGGCACCTGGTCAGTCTTGTCTTTAGAGACTAGCTCCACCTGACCAACCCACCTTCCCCACTAACCCAACATTCCCAAAGCTGAACCTACTCTCTTCCCTATTAAAAAAAATCCTCCTCCCTTCTTCCGGGTGTATAATTATCTCCGTAGTGACACCATCTTTCTTCCAGTATCCCAGGCTTAAAAAAACGGAGAGAAAAGTGATATTTAAGTAGAAATGATAGGAGAAACTACCGGAAGTGGGGAGATATTTGGTGTAGAGAAACCCCAGTAAGCACCTTACTCCTTCATACCCAGTGGAGGCAAGGACGTGGGCTAAAAGGATATTGTCAGAAGTCTTTCTCCATTCTAATCCATTCCAATTTTCCTAAAGCACTCTTTCCTTTATGGCAGGTCCCTACTCAAGAACCCACTAAATCATGTCTAAACATTTCTCTCAGGCTTTCAGCGTCCTCCAAAACCCCCTCTAGTCCATCCACTTCCTCAATTCTGTCTCTCACCATTCCTTCCCACTTTCCTTTCCAGTTAAGCTGATATCTTCCCATCATCTTCCCACATGCCCTCCCCATTCCCTTCACTGTGCCCCCCACCCCGAGAATTCCCTTTCTTCTCCTTCTTCTAAGGCCCAGCTCAGCCTCTGTTCCTCCATAAGTCCATCTCCAACTGTACTTCCCCGCTTTGGTCCTCCTTCCTGAGTTCACAGTCAGTGTGAGTTTAACATTACTGTGTTCTCTATGTCAGCTCCCTCACTAGACTCTAAACTCTATGAGGGTCAGGATTTGTCTTCAATGACAGGATGAGTCGCAGAAGAGATACCAAGCAATTTCAACCAATTTGTTTAATTTTATTCAAGAAGGAGTTCACGGCTGGTGGGTAGTTGAAGACAGATAATTCATCAGAGCTCCTTAGGAGTGATAATGAGATAGAGAGAGATGAGGACAGATTGGAAATTGAAGTAAGTCACAGAATGAAGGAACAGACTTTTGTTTTTTTTGGCTACATTGGGTCTTCGTTGCTTCACACAGGCTTTCTCTGGTTGCAGTGAGCAGGGGCTTCTCTTCATTGTGGTGTGCAGGCTTCTCATTGCAGTGGCTTCTCTTGTTGTGGAGCACGGACTCTAGGTGCACAGCCTTCAGTAGGTTGTGGCACGTGGGCTCAGTAGTTGTGGCATGCAGGCTCAGTAGTTGTGGCTCGCAGGCTCTAGAGCTCGGGCTCAGTAGTTGTGGCACACGGGCTTAGTTGCTCCACAGCATGTGGGATCTTCCCAGGGCTCAAACCCGTGTCCCCTACATTGGCAGGCAGATTCTTAACCACTGCACCACCAGGGAAGCCCCAAGGAACAGACTTTTTAACTGGTCTCATTTGAGAGTCTGATCTTCACACATACTCCCTTCACACATGGACATGCCCCGGGCTATCTCCTGTCTTCTGCAGCTCAGCAAGCAGCCCAATATAAAGAAGAAGCCATTCTGGCAAAGGGTAACCTGGAGGATTGCCATAGGAAACTGCAAAGCTGCATTTGCCTGGAGAAGCAGAAGGCAGAGACCATCCAGGAGCTCCGGAGAGAACTTCAGAAGCTACAGAAGGATTCCCTAATGGCAGAGGAGGAACTCGCGCCCAGCAGGTACCACAGGTTCCCCTCCAGACAGAGTCTCTGTCCCTCGTAAGCCAGTTGGGACCCTGTGGGATGCTGCCCAGGAGTTGGGTAGCAAGCCCCGGGCAGCCAGCCCACAGTCCACCGACGTGGACCCTGAAGTCCATCCACCTGTTTTTGCCATTTTGCTTTAGGAAACGGATAGAGGAGCTGACATCAGAATTATCTGAGTTCTCCAGAAAGCTTGAAATTTCAGAGAAGGAAAAGAGGCAGCTTCAGAAGACAGTGACTGAGCAGGATGTAAAACTGAATGACCTGCTAGATCGTATAAATCACATTCAACACCAGGTGTGGAGGGCAAGTAGGCAGCCAGCTCAAGCATTTGCTCTGTTTCAGATTAAATGCATTGCTCTTGGGAATTCCCTGGCCGTCCAGTGGTTAGGACTCCGAGCTCTCACTGCAAAGGGTCTGGGTCAATCCCTGGTCGGGAAACTAAGATCCCACAAGCTGAGCGGTGTGGCCAAAAAGAAAAAATTGCATTGCTCTTTATTTGGGAAGATGCCACCACCAATCCTTGCAAACTACTTGTCCAGAATTTGTTTTAGAATGCTAAGCCAGCCAGGCAGCTCCAGTTCCCACAACCAATAATAAGCATTTTCAGGGGCCAAGCTTAAAAACAGTCAAACGACAATATTATTTCTTTTTCTAGGACTCAAAAGCTATCCTCTCAGTCGATTTAAAGTTTTTTAACTTTGAATTATTCCTTTTGTGCTTTTCTAAGATTTTTAAAAATTTATTCAGAGAGTATTTTATGTGGAAAGACTTGGTAAGTAAGTGGGACCTGGATCTATAAATAAAATAAGTTGGTATTTCTAATTGAACAAAGAAAAACTATTGCTGAACCTAAGAGGAAACTTTTTTATTAAACACGCTAAATAACCAAGGAGTTGTCCTCATTTTTTTTTTTTTTTTTTTTTTTGCGGTACGCGGGCCTCTCACTGTTGTGGCCTCTCCCGTTGCGGAGCACGGGCTCCGGACGCGCAGGCTCAGCGGCCATGGCTCACGGGCCCAGCCGCTCCGCGGCATGTGGGATCTTTCCGGACCGGGGCACGAACCCGCGTCCCCTGCATCGGCAGGCGGACTCTCAACCACTGCACCACCAGGGAAGCCTCATATTTATTTCAGCCATCCCTGTGCACAGTTGTCTGAGCTGGGGGTTTTCTTCGCAAAAATATGGTGCCTGACTTGCAGCCCCGTGTTTGTTTTCTCAGAACAGGAAGCAAGCCTCCTCCAAATGCAGTCTAGAAGAACAGCTTCAGGAGGAAACCAGGTTGCTGGAGGAGAAACAGGAGCAGCTGAAAAAGAGTAAAGAGCAGGAGAAGCTACTGCAGCAAGAGCTCGAGATATTCCGACAGGAAGGAAAAAAGAAAGAAAAGATGGTGAGGAGAATCTGGGAAGCCTCGGGATTAAGAATCCAAGGCCAGACCTGAGCCCAGCTGGGCCTGGTGGGATACAGAGGCTGAGGGTGCTCAGACTTCAGGAGAGAAGGGAGGGAGGGTGAGAAAGACAAGTGAGGAGGGCAGAGAAGGCCTGAGATACATGGGGTGCAAGGTGGAGCTGTGTGTGAGGGCAGAAGGAGGGGCTTCTGCAGGAGTCTAAGATAACACCTCCATCTGGGCTTTGTTTCCTTAATTGGGGAGCAGTCAAAGGAGAATTTGAGAAAGTTGGAGGAGGAAAATGATAATCTCAAATCACAGTTAAAGCAATGTTCTGCGCAACTGGATTCCTCTCTCTGCAAACAAAACAGCACCCAGCAAATCAACCAGGAGCTGACTCGTAAGGTGAGTAGACAGAAACCCCAAGGGGGTGAGAAATTTGAACCCTATGACCCTTGACCTGAAGTTGGCACCTAGCTCTCCTCCATCACAGAAATGCCACTAACTGCCCAGCCCATGTGCATTCTGGGGCACCGGAGCCCCCACTTCCCTCCTGAAGTGTCACCCACTTGCTGGCCAAGAAGTATTTCTTCCACATGTAGAAGGTCTTATTAAATATCTGGTGGAGCCCCAAACCATCTGGGCTTTGGCATCAAGGCTTCCAGAGTTGCATTTTAGACCAGAGTTGAGTGAGCCCATTGTTCGGGGCAATTTGCTAGGGAACACTTCCAAAAATAGTCCCAAAGCACAAAAATGGGATGAAAGGGGACATGGTTATATTTCATTACACGAATAAAGACAAAAGGAGTAAATGGCATCTAATGTACGTGAGGCACTGTGCTCACATTCAGTCATCATTTACTGACCGTCTACTTAAGTCCTTGGCATGCCTTCCATCTGCTGGTTTACAGAGGAGAGAAAGGCTGAGGCTCAGACTGACTAATTGGTAAGTGATGGGATGGAGCAATATTTGAACTTGGATCATCTGGCTCTGCCACCTGACCTCTTTCCCTTCATCCTGAATGGCAATACTTGCCCCAAATGAGCCCATTCCATACTTCTGGACAAGAAAAAAATACAGCATCTTGATTAGGTAGTCTCTTGAATTATAAATGAGAGACCAAGCAGCTCTGAGTCCTTCATAATAAAGAGTTCATCTTAAAATACTATGACCATTCTAAGTGTACGAATAGCACTACGCAATAGAACTCTCTGTGATGATGGAAAAGTTCTAGATTAGAGTTACCTGATACTATATGCACTAGCCACATATGGCTATTGACTGCTCGAAATATGGCTTAGTATGACTAAGGAACTGAATTTATAAGTTTAATTTTAGTTTTATTGAAATGTAAATAGTCTCATGTGGCTAGTGGCTGCCATATTAAACAGCAGAGGTCTGAGGCACTGATGTTTCTGGAGTTTTGTCACTCAGAGATATAAATCTCTCCTCTAGTGGGATCCAGAGTTGAGGCCTGAATCACTCAAATCCCCAAGGAACTGCTTTCAATATAAGGAATACTGCCTAAGTATTTAATATAGGCCTGTTATCACATTTGCCAAAAGAAAGGGAGTTATGTAAATGTGCAACTAGAAGCACTAATTTCAGAATTCCTTTGATGGGAATCCAGAGGCTGGAGGAGTTTATGTGTGTGTAAGCATGTTCAATTTTTTAAAAGCATGCCCCACATATAACAGACTTCTTGAATCAATGGAAACAGCCATTAGAAAGAGGCTTAGTTTTGCATTCTAAACTGCATTTCCTTTCATCGGTAGTCCATATTTCAATTTTAAACACACTCTGTCGGAACTATATGTCCAATTCATCCCTAGTATTGCCCAATGCACTATTTCATTCAGTCCAAATAAATCATTTAGTATATTTAGTGAGCACCTATTATATGCCATGCTCTGAGCTACAGGTAGTGGGGATACAGCGATGAAGAAAGCACACACAGTCCTGCTTTCATGGTGCATCAAGTCTAGTGGATTATGTCAGGAGTTGAGGCATAATGCATACCACTGAAATGTTGCATCATATTTCCTAACCTAGAATTGGATTCCAGGTTAACACTAATCCTAACCCTAACCCTAACCATGAGACAGTTAACTATTAACAGAAACCATCCAGTTACAAATGTAGGACCCATGCTTGGCTGGCACACGTCAAAGGCTGCGGAGTCTGTGAAAGGGACTTTTCATGTATTTGACACATCATGGCCCAGTACTTCCAGTACTCCTTGTATTGGGAAGACATGCTATCTAGAAAGGAAGTGTGGGAGAGGGGTGCAGAAGAACCTGGAAAGGCAGCTCTTCCTCTTCCAGCAGTGAGGGGAAGTGGGCATTATCACAGTCTGCTGGGCAGGTAGTTAGTGCAGGGAGGAGAGAGCCCTGTGCCTGTCCATCTGTGGACACAGAGGATGCCTCCATGGCCATGAACCTTGACAGTTATGTTCCCCCTCCCTAAAGATAATCCTTCAGAAGGAGACCATGGCGAGTCTGCAGATTCAGCTGGACAAGGCTGCGGCGAAAGAGAAGCAATACCTCCAGACCACGGTCAGTAAAGATGTCTATGAGGAGGTATGCCGGAAGTCAGCCTCCTGCCAAGATGACCTAACACAGGCCCTGGATAAGGTGGGCTACACCCTCTCATCTCCGGGGCTGTTTAATATCCAAGTTATCCCAGCAGCATGAAAGGTGAAGGAGTCAATTTCCTGCATAACTGGCTGTCACCAAGGCCATCTGCAAACCCTTGCATTGGCTGGGATGTCTGTCCAGAGAAGGCCTGCTTCTCCCTAGTGAGGCTTTGGGGAAGAGGGGGATAGAGGCCAAATCTAACAAGTCTTTCTGCCCATGGGTGACCCAGGGGCAAGGTTTTCCCAAGAACTGGATTTTTCAGGGAAATTCATGCCGCATCCCTGTGCTAATCATGCCTGGCTGATGAGCTCATAGAATTGGAAAGAGAGGAAACGGGAGAGGGGCAGGGGAGATGCAGAAGACTGACTGTTGTCACTTCTCACCCCTCCCTGGGACTCTAGGCGAGGTGACCAGGACCAGGTGTGTCTGTGCCACCCTGGGCAGAAGAGAGTAGGGGCTGTGGGACTGGTGGAACCCTTCTCCATTCAGGACTCAGCACAGAGGCCCAAGTGCAATGACAGCCGTTCTCCCCCCAACCCTTTGTCTTTACCAAAGCTCAGTCATTCGACCTCAGAGACAAAGAGTCTTCACCAAATTCTGACACAGGCCCAAGACAGGAAGATTCAGCTGGAAGAGGAAGTCATTGCTTACGAGGAGAGGATGAAAAAGCTGAATGTGGAGTTAAAAAAACTGCAGGGCTTCCAGCAGCAGAGTGAGCTAGAGGTGAGGAGCGGCCAGGGGCCCCGGCTGCCGTCCTGCCCAGGGCCCCAAGGCCTCTTCTTGCCCCACAGCTGTGTACTTCGCACTGAGCCGGTCCCTTCGGCTAACAGGTGCCCTCCCTTTTGCTGGGCTCTGGGAGCTTCAAGAAGGCGGCAACTATCAGAGCAGGGGCGCCCTCTGCTGGCCGCTGGAAATAAAACACTCCCTCATGAACCTCCCAGAGAAAGCGCCCTCCCGCCTTGTCGTGGGTCCTCCAGGGTCAGGGTGGCAAGCTGGGGTCTCCCTCCTCACTGTGCGCTACCGAGCAGGTGCAGGCCTTCGACAAAAAGCTGGAGGACATGAGCAACCAGGTGCTGCAGTGGCAGAAGCAGCACCAGCGGGACCTCGAGGTGCTGGCCGCTAAAGAGGAGCAGCTCAGGGCGTTCCGGGAGGAAATGCGCGCCCTGAAAGAGAGCCTCCTCGCGGACGGGACGGAGGTGGGCACTCCTCAACTCCCAGCCGCTTCCTCCCACTGCCCCAGAACATCCCACGACCGCCTGCGTGACAGACACCCTTTGGTGGGGGTGGGGGTGCCTGGGAGCAAGGAAAGGACACCCCCTCTATTCAGTACAAAGCGGGGTCTGGGTGTTCCAGGCCCACAACGGCTGTCTCGACCCAACCATCTTCCCGTGACTTTGTTGATAGAGATATTGAACAGAGCAAAGGTCCCAATCCAGAGGAGAGAGAATGCCATCTCCATGTCAGGTACACCAGCAGCCCCGACTTAGATAATCCACGGCTCAGTCACCCTCCAGAGCCCCTCCTGACACTTTCAATTACCCTGCAGTAGAATCGGCTAAGAGCTCTTTGTGCACGTCCAGCTCTCTGAGCAGTGAAGTTTGTAGCAGGAGGCTCCCGGATATCCTTGGGGTGGCCACAGGGCCTTTGCCCAAATTAGAAAAAAAGTCCTCCCTTTCCACCAGATATTTTTTCTTTCATCTGTTTTTAAAAAGGCTTAATGTATTGCTGTTTTAGAATAGGTCACTTTGCTATCTTTGGCCTGAAAATCATTATTATAAATGTACAAACCTACTTTGTCTCTACTATAAGTGGTGTCTGCTCACAGATGTCACCTTTGTGATAATGCACTGCTGGAGGTGGAGGCCTGCAATGGCAATTCCAACTCTGGCCTCAGGGTTGGACAGCAGAGTCAATGTTTCTTCTCCCAGGAAGAGAGGAGACCTGATCTGGGAGAAGGGAGGTGACAGGCCTGTGCTCCCACCCCCTTACTATCTCATTTACTTCTTGTACCGAAGTCCTGTTGCCTGTCCCAGCGGTCTGCGCCTAAAGACACCTGCAGGCTGCACCGAGAGAACGATCAGATTATGTCCAACATGGAGCAATGGGCAAAAGAGCAGAAGTAAGTGTGGAAGAAAACAGTAAGGCAGGCTTCCAAGGGCTGGAATCACACCTGTGCCAGAGAATAGTGTCATACACACACACACAGCCCTCCAGGGAAACTGATCCAGTCTCAGCCCACACCCAGATGCTGGGAATAAGATGAAGGGGCCGCAACCCTTCAGGCGGGTTCAGAAAGCCCCGCCCACTTGGAAATGGAGCAGCTTCCAGACAGAAGGGATGCTCCTGTGGGTCAGATTTCCTCTTCCCAGCCTGGTGTCAGGCTTCACTGCCTGGATCCCCTGAACTCACTTGGGATCACAGTGATTTTGCTTGGGAGTGTAGAGGGTCCTCTTAATTGCCAGCTGCTAGGAGGGCTCTAGCTCCGGGGACGGGGGGGATGAGCGGGGGGTCTGGGCCCCAAAGAGGCTTCGCCAAGAACACCCAATGTCCTTTTCAGCCAGCTCATGCTCTTACCCACAGGGGTCTGGGGAACTCTTTTCTTCTGTGAATTTTATTACAGGATCGCCAATGAGAAACTAGGAAACAAACTCCGTGAACAGGTCAAATATATCACCAAGCTGACTGGTGAAAAGGAGTAAGTCATCCCACGCCCCCCTGGCTGGAGCTTGGGCCCCAGGGAGAGGAGTCAGCCAGGAACCAGGGCTGACTTTTTCACTGGATATGTGGAGAAAGACCCCAAGTCCCAAATCTGCATCCATGTGACCTTGAGCAATACCACTTGACCTCTTTGGGCCTTAGTCCCCTCACCAACAATAAAAAAAGGGGTTAATCATCTCTATGTCCCTCTCCACTGTCACCTTCCACAGTTCTCAGAAGTCAGAATGCTGAGAAGGAAACAGGAACTGAAGAGCAGACTGTATTAGTTAGGGTAGTGGCTAAGCTGTGGTAACGGAGAGCTCTCCAAACAAAGGGACATAAAACATAGAAGGAACACCTCTATGAGGTGAGCAGTCAAGGTTGGTGGGGTCCTTCTGTCCCATGTGGTCATTTGGGTCCATCTACTTGCAGCCTTGGTTCACCCTCATGGTCAAAGCTGGGTCAGCATAGAGTATGGTACGGGAGGAGTGTTGGAAGTTTGGGAACAGAGGCAAAAGTATGGATGTCTAAAACTGAGATTTCAGAGGTGGCATAGTAACAGGTAATGACAAGCTCCAGGGCAGTGTTTCCCAACCTTTTGTCAGGGAACACTTAGAAAATGAACACCTTTGTTTGACACACTGAGAGGGTCTTGGATGGGGTTGCTTATGGTAAAGGTGACCAACCAGCAGCTGTGCCAAACCCTGCTCCAAGGGCTGAGGTATCGCAGCACACCTGGGACCCATTCATGCAGCCCCAGTTAAAGCTGTGTCCTGAGCTTGGACCATAGGAAAGCGTCTGGGTTGAAGGAGAAGAAAAGATCACTGGAATAAGGAGGTCAAGGAACTGAAGGGCCAGGGCTTGGATGAAAAGTACAGGATGCTGAAAGCATCAGGGATGCTGACAGGAGTGGACCAGAGAGAGTGGCAGAGAGCCAGGGAATGAGGGCATTCGAGGACCCTACCTCCAGGCCCAGTGGCACAAGGAGCATGGCAACAACATGAAGAGCTACAAGGGAAGGGGTGTCTTCACTGCCAGCCAGATTTATACAGAGCAAGAGGGCAGAGAATACGCCCAGAGAAGCAGTTGAGGATGAATTCTCTACTTGATTTCCTCTAGAAAATATCATAAAATATCTCACTAGGACAGAAACACTTTCTGAAAGGATTTAACTAAAGGAGAAATTGTCAGAATCTGAAGGTAGCCGGGCACCAGGCTTTTTCTTATATTGTGCCAAGTTCTGGCAAGTTTTTTGGGTTTTTTGTTTGTTTGTTTCACAAAGAACTCATTCTTGAGTTTGCTTGACCCTATTTGAAGGAACACCATCTTTTAATCATAATAACAAGAGCTCAACTAATATTTATTGCTTACTCATGAGGAGCACTGTTCCAAGTGCTTTACATGTGTTAACTTATTTAATCTTCATAATACCTCACACGTTCAGTGCACGTATAATCCCCATTTAAGGATGAAGAAAGGGAGAAACTCAGGCTACATAATTTTCCCATGGTCTCTTGACCAGTAAGTGGCAGAGTCAGGATCCCAACTTGGGAAGCCTGGTTCCAGAGCCCACTGTCACTCACTTCTCTCAACACTGGTTTGGAGAAATAAGGCTGTTAGTATTAACAGTTGCCATTTATTGAGCCACAGGAGGTATGCTCAGTTACCTTTCCCCTCACCTACACTGGAGCTGCCATTTCTTCCATAAAATGGGGACAAGTAACTTGCCCAAGCTCTCGACAGAGCTGGGATCCCCTGTGTTCTCAACCTTTCAGCAAAGGGAGGCAAAAGAACTTGGGCTTTGGCATCAGAACTGGATGTGAGTGTTTCCTAGGCATGGCTGTGAGAAACTGAGGACACGTGATCAGAGTTGTTCTGGCTCTTTGAATCCAATTTCTATCATTTGTCAAACTGGATTTTTATATGAACCCCAGAAGGCAGATCAGACTCAATGGTCCCCATCTAACAGATAAGAAAACTACCCCAGAGCTGACATGACACAGTGGGTCAGGAGTGCTGATTCTGGGTCCACCCCAACCCCAGGCCTGGGCTTCTTCCTGGGGATGCACATAGGCCTCCATTTCCACAGAACATGCGTGAGAGCACGAGCTCTGGAAGGAACTGGGCGTCCACGGAACTGGAACAGACCAAACACCCACCTGTCCTTCCCTCTCCTTCCCCAGCCACCTCCACAATGTAATGGTCCATCTGCAAAAGGAAAACAAGAAACTAAAGAATGAAATAGAGGAGAAGAAGCTGAAAGCTGGGCCCTCAAGGGTATGTACCAAAGCCCTATGGCCAAGCAAAACAGACCCCACATCAAGGGGGAAAGTGTATGGCACCTTGGACTGGAGAGGGATAACCCAAGATGTGAGCCAAAGAATGGACATCACCAAGTCTGTCGGGATGCCCCACTGCTCAGGTATGTCCACCATGCGGCTTTTGCTACTTACTATGGTGCTGTCTTTCTTAGTCCATTGGGTCAAAAAAGAAAAAAAAAACGTATTTTGAAGAGATCACTGGATTGGAAATTCAAATAGGGGAAAAAAACAAATCTTTTGCTTAGCTATTCTGGACCAGAGATCATTGTTTTCTCCTCTGTAAAGGGGGAGGCAAATGAATTAAGGCTCATCCTGATTTAAGAATCTTTGATGTTACCCAAGTGCCTCCTATCTCAGACCTATCCCTTCCCCTGACCCAGTCCCTTTTGGGAGGTGTGAGGATAAGAAGGGAACAGGCAGAATAGGCATTTTTCTCCTCTAACGTGTTTTGGAAGCCTCACAAGAATGCCCTGGTCTCCTGTTCGGCCTGAGTCCAAGGCTACCTTTTCTGCCACCTGTAGACTCCATGGTACCCCCAAGGTAAGAAGTCACCTGCAACAGAGCTGCCTGGCCACGAGACTAGTCCTTGAGAAATCACTTCATTAATTTCTCCTCAAATCAAGATTGTCATTTCCTCCCTGTTCCCTCAGGTTCCTCATATTGCTAGAATCAGCGCCTTGCCCTGAGCATCATTTCCATGCATGTTTTTCAGAGGACAGTGAGTTCCTATTCCTCTCTTGACTTGGATCAGCTCTAACCGGAATATGTCAAGGTCCAAGCCTATTCTGCAAGATGCTAACGTTTTATTGAGTTTTGTCTACTTCCTGCGGCAGAGTGAGCCTTGGAACCCTACTACCATCTCCAGGCCCAAACTCTAAAATAAAGACATGAGCACAGCAGCCTCAGTGAGCTCGTGGTGTCTTGCAGACAATTCTGCCCCCTCAGGTCCCCAGCAATGTGTTCATCCCTATTTTCCCTAAATTCTAAAACATATAGTTCTCTTTGACATACATAGGGGAGCTGTAATTCCCAAAGCAAGCTTCTGGATTATCTGGATTCGTTTTTAAACCAACAAGAGATAATTAGTTCCTTTTTTATTCCTTCCATCTCTGTCTGGAATTTAAGAAGAAAAAGAAATATCTAAAAACCTCCGAAAGGAAAGTAATCCTGAGACCCAAAAGAGAGGAAGAGAAATAAATGATGCATTTTCCAAAGGCAGGAGGGAGAGATAGCCATCTGCTTTCTCCCTGGCTGCCATATTCCTTCTTTTAACAATTTTATTTTTCTCCCCAGCCAGCTCAGTACAAGAAAAATTCCATTATAACAAACTCCAAGGACAGCTAAACTATTTTATTGTGGCTGGATTTTGTTAAACTAAGTACATGTCTAGAATTTCTATTTCTAGTCTATAGAAAATTGAAATAGCTAAAGGTAAAGTAAGAGAAAGAAATGAAAGGGCTTGCATTTCTGGAAGAAGGGAAAGGAAAAGTGAAGGAAGAAACCCACTAGTTGATAGCAATTCTTAAATATCTTGCCTCCCTCCCCAGCCAAACAAAAGCCAAGAAAATTTTCTGCTAATAGCAGCAATGTGTTATATAGGATGCCCCTGCTAGGCCTTGGGAAGGGCAAGTTCTGGAAATGCAGTGTGAGGCAGGAGCAATGGGCACATCTGGTGGTTTCTATTGTGATGGTCATTGTCTGGTTTTTAATGCTCTTTTGACTGTGTTCCTTCATTTGGTTTAGAATAAGGATACGTGTTCTAGAGAAAACAAAGACTGAAGGGTCTGGTACTAATGAAATGGCTTCTAGTTCTAGCCTGTGGCCCATTTATTCAAGTAAAAGTTCAATGTCACTAAAATCCCCAGTACAGTCTACTAAAAAGGCATTTTGTCTCTTTAATTTACAAAAAGTTTTCATATATGTTGGCCAAAGGGACAATATCTGGGTACTTTGAATGTTGTACTTTTTCCAAAGTTGTCTCTCACTTCCTATAGTGTGATTACACCAGAGGAAAGCAGGTAGCACGCTATGGGGAGCAAAGGGGCAGGAGAGCCAGAACCATATCAATACATCACCCAGCCGTGTGGCCTTGCAAGCCCAGCCAGGTAGGAGACCCAACTGAGTGGAGGGGCTGGGCTTGGAGAAATGAAGAAAGGCAGGAGAAAGGGCAGGGAGCCCGAATGTTGCCTGCCTCTAATGCTTTAAGAAATAACCAAAGAAGTGAGTTCTTTAAAAGTTGACATTAAAAAGACATGGTCTCTGTATGAAACTATAATGGTGGATGCATTTGTCCTAACCCATAGAATGTACAGACACCAAGGGTGACCCCTAATGTAAACTACGGACTTTAGGGGGTAATGATGTGTCAGTGCAGGCTCGTCAGTTGTAACAATCGAACCACTGCGGTGGGCGATGCTGATAGTGGGGAGGCTGTGCAGGTTTGGGGGCAGGGGAAGCAGATATAGGAGAAATCTCTGTACCTCCTGCTCAATTTTGCTGTGCACCTAAAGCCACGTTAAAAAAAAAATAACAAAAAAGAAACGATTATAAAGCTAGGACTTAGCCGAGGGGATTACAAATAAAGCGCTTCAGCCACCCAGTCGGAGGGTCACTCAGATTCTGCTACTTTGGGGGCCGCAGAATCCTTTGTGACAGACCCTCTTCTACCTACCTGGAGTATAATTCTTCTCCCCCTGAGCTAAAGGAACCCAGAACAAACCCCAGCCGCCACCTTACTAAAGGGAAGGAGGAGCTCCCTAGAACCACCATGTGGCCACGTACACTTGCCTTTGAGCCTCCTCTGCACAGCCCATATGAGGAGGAAGCTTCCTGCCATAGGCAGGGCCCAGCGAGCTAGCCCTGGGGTCCCCAGAATGAGCCCCCTATCTCAGCCTGAGACCCTCAACTGCTGATATTTCTAAGATGTCTAAAGTATCCTGCTCCTCTCAAGTAGGCATTAAAGGGTAGACACACATAGCTGAGAGCAAGGCAGGGGACCCCTGTCCAGTTCAACAACCTTACTGTTCTTTCACACCAGTCTCAGGAATCCACTTCCGGGTCATTGCCAAGAAACGCTTTTGTACCTCTAGAAAAAGAATCAGTTATCATCTGAGGAAGAGATGGTGAAGAGCAGAGTATTAATTCGGAATATTAAAGCTGGAAGGAAGGTAGATCTGAATGGAAAGGGTCCATAGTTAAAAAGAAAGCATTGGAGACAGAGTGCAAACAGATTCTTGGGCAAAAGTCCAGAAGCCAAAGCAGATTCGGGTACAGCTGCTGGGGGCGGGGAGCCTCCCCACTTATTTTGTGGCATCTGTGTATGCCACATGTGCCTCACTAGACGTCGCCTCAGCAGACCGTTGAGGCTGCTTAACAACAGAAAAGACTAGTGATTCTAGCGTAAGCATCATCTTTTACGTGAAAACCGATAAGCAACATTTTACACTATTTTCCATGAATACACAACACATAACGGAAGAAACTTCAGCCATTCTGAGCGACAGAGCAGCCAACCCGCCCTTGGGAAAGGACAGAGGGTGCGCGGCTGCTCACCTTCCTCCCACTTCCTGGCCACCATGGCCGCCTTGCCCCAGCCCTGCCAGGTGCTGGTGCCCCAGGCCATTCTCCTTCCCTGTCAGCTGAGTCCCACCCCATCAACCCCTCCTCTAAGAGGCACTGCCTGGAGAACAGAAGGGCGAGCTAAGGTTCTAGAAGGATCCATCCAAGGAAAGTCAGCGTTCTGCCTGTTCTCTAATGTGTGATTTAGGGCAGTCAGGGGAAAAGAAGAGTCAAATACAATAACATTTTACAAACAATAAATTTATTTCCAAATCCTGAATTATAACCAAATTATAATTCCCCTTAGGTCTATTGTGCTGTTTTACACAAGAATTTTAAAAAACATAGTCAAAGCCGTGTCATTCATACACCAAGTGTCCCGGGGACAGTTTATTTGAATACGGTGGGTCCGGCCACCTCTTGTGGTCCTGGCAGCTGCTCTGCGGCCCCACGCCTGCACCGAGAAACTCCCACCTCCTCCACGGCAGAGCCTGGCCGCAACAGGTGCCCCCAGGGCCATGATGTACACAAATGAAAGCACACAGATGAAACGGTTTTGTCGGCAGGCCTGGGCGCTCCAGCCACGGGGCTCATGACTCAACACCTGGCCCCCCTCCTCTTCAGGGACAGCATCAGCTCAGAGCCCAAAGCGGGCTGGTGTGCGGCGAGGGGTCATGGGTTCCCCTTGCTCTTTCCGACCTGGGGTGTAGATCTTTGTAGACCTGGAGACACAGAAGAGGGGTTAGGAATCGCACTGCTGCTCACTCCGGCCAGGACGCACAGGAGGACGAGGAGCCTGAGGTCTTGCTGCTTCTGTGTGTGAGCAGGCTTTGGGGCTGCAGGGTCTCCGCCCCTAGCACACTTCCACTCCCCTCGCCTTCCCTATGTGTGATCGGGAGCAGAATGAGATAGCACCTCTTTCTTCTATCCACTGAGGCAGGTTATGAGATTTTTTAACAATTCCATTCATATCCCCTAGGTGAGCTCTGAAGGGAGTCTTCCCTCCACCTCACCAGGCCGCCACTCCAGCTGTGGCTGGGCTTTGTCCCCAGTTCCTGGAAGTATCTCTAGACCCTTGGAATTTCCCAAGGGACTGGAGTGTCTCTGTTATTCACGGTGGACCACATCTGATAGTTTATGCAAATGAGATGACTCAGGATGGTGGCTGCCCTGCCAGAAAAACCAACCTGTGAACAGAGGGCTGTGCTTTGAGCCTCGTGCTATCAGCCCAGACTCTGGGGAGGGAAAAGAGGTTGGAGACTAAGTCAACACATGGGTCCTGCCCAATAAAACTCTGGGCACCAAAGCTCCGGTGAGCTTCCCTGGTGACAATACTCTGTGTAATGTGCCAGGAGGGTAACATGACCCCAAGGACAATGGAAGACTTCACATCTAAGACCCTCTCAGACCTCACTTTATACATCTCTCCCTTTGGCTGGTTCTGTGTCCTTTTGCTATAATAAAACTGTAATATGTATAGTACTTTCCTGAGTTCTGCGAGGTATTCTAGCAAATTATCAAACCTGAGGGAGTCCATGGGGATCCCCCAATTTGTAACAAGTTGGTGAGAAATGAGGGTGACCCTGGGTACCCCCCAACTTGCAGGTGGTGACTGAGGTGAGAGCAGTCTTGCAGCGACTATGCCCTTCACCTGTGCAGTCTAACTCCAGGCACCAGGGCAGACGCAGGTGCCCAAGGCTCTCCTGGCCTTGCCTCTCCACTGTGATGTCCAAGCCCTAGCCTGCTGGTAAAGCTGTGAGACCTACTCTGCCGCTCCAGCCCACCTTGGGCCCCATCACAACATAACAAACAACGACCAGGAGTTGCAGCTGTATCACCACTCCTTGAAAGTATGTCCAAAACCCCTCCCGTCTCCACGTGACCACAGTCAACTCGTCACCAATTCACCTCTGCACATTTAACTTCTCTTAAATCGCGACCCTGCCTCAGGGCCTGGTCAGTCCAGCTGGTGGGCTCCATCAGGACAAGAGTCCCGAGACCACAGCTCACCTGACACTACCCAGGGGACTGCGCTTTTCCTGCTCCTGCCGCCGGGCCCGCAGCTGCTCCTCGGCCAGTGCCATCTCCTCCTCCATGGCAGAGGCTTCCTCTTTGGCCCGTCGGCGGTTCTCCTAGAGAAGGGAGAGGTACTGGGGTCACTGGGGATTGGCGGGTGAGGAGGGCCAGCCTGCACCCATCTCCCTGCTGCAAGCCAGGTGCTGGGTAGACCTTGCCAGCTCCCAAAGGCAGGGACACACAGCTCCCTGCCCCAGCACTGAGGCCTGCTTTGCTCACTGATCCAAGACAGACATTGGATGATTGAGTCCTCACCCTGTCATGCCTCAGCCCTCCACTCAATTTGCTAAGTGCTTACATGCTCTAACCAAGTTCATAACCATGCCAGGAAGTACAG